ATAGAAATATTAAATTTGAATGTGACTTAATTTCTGAATAGTTTGATTAAAATTATTCAATAAGATTGGCGATGTTCCCTAGTTGGAATCGAATTTTTATACAGTTGCAAGAGAGAAGAAAGAAAAACGATTAATCACTTTTGCGCAAAGTTGGCACAGCCATCAAATTTTTATGAAGTCTGCTCAGTCGTATTTCTATCAGTCTGTCTGCGGAAGCTCTCCATTTTTTACTTTTTTCCTTCTTTCTTTCGGATTCAAAGGGACACAATTATTATAAAAGCTCACGCAGGAAGAACTTGCATTTCTTTTGGAAAAAGTTGCTTTCAGAGGCCCCATGATTAAAATAACGAGTCCCTTGTTAAGATTTTGCACTTCAAAAAGAAATTCGACGACGTCGCTTTTTCGCCCCGGATCTCTCTTTTGCTACCTTTTTTTCTCTGAAGCTCATCTCTTAGCGAAAGATATGCACGTCGGAAATTTATAATTGGCCCTCGGCTGCTCTCAAAGAAGCGGAAAAAGGCACCCATGCCGTGCAGCTCCGGCCGTGCCATATGGGAAAATTAATCCGGAGTGAGAAAATTTCCAAACACCGGCAGTCGACGACCGGGGTGATGATATTGGCACGTCGGCCCCAACTTTTTTAATTAACGAAAAACGCCTTTGGACTTTTTCAGTATAATTAATCGCAGCAATTAATTACTGATGAGCCGAATTCTTTGCACCTTCAAGAAAAAAAAGCTAAATTTTACCATATTTTACCCTTTTTTTTATTAAACTCAATTTTATCCTTTTTATAATATTTTTTGCTATTTATAACAAATTTATTATATTATTAAAAAAAATAATATGTTCTTTTAATTCTAACAATAAATAATTTTGCCGCATCGAATCAATTCTGAAAACCGCAGTGCCTCTGTTTGAACAAAATAATTTCGCCTCGTCGTCAAAATTACAATTTGCGACGACTGTGACGAGATTTTTTTTTTTTTTTGGTCTCTAAAAAAGACGATCAATTTTCGCTGCAGTGGCATATTAACGGAACGGCGGTGGGCGTTTTTGATCAACCAGCAGCTCGTAGCAATCAACTTTCCAATTATACACGATCCTCCCCCACCTGCTCGTCGGTATTAATGCAAAAAATCGCTGACACGAGCAGTTGCCTCTCTTCTGCCGCCGTTTTTTTTCTGCTGATATTTTTTATGAAACAGGCGGGTGGTGATAAAATTAATTTCCGCCCACGAAATTGAAAAGTTATTATTTTTCGTCAAAGGGAGCGAGCGTTGAAAGAAATCTCTCCGCTAACTGAAGCTTGATATGGAATTTGAGGAAAATATACACTTGATCATTCATTTTAATTAACGATCGCCCTCGCATATCATGTAACCAAATTTGGGTTGTTCCTGGAAATGAATCGGGGCGCTCGTCAAAAAGCAGACGTGTTTGAATTCCAGGTATGCAATGTGATATTCTATGCCGTCCATAATTTACTAGGGATGCGGTTTGCTTTTCATCATCGGGCCCAAACACGTTGGTGTTTGTTTCCGTTGATTTGACGTTAATTATAGCGAATATGTTTATTGAAAGGTTGCTTCAATTTGGGAATGTTGATTTATTTGCGGTTTGCAAATTTGAAATGCGATACTGAAACGCGAAACGTATTAAATTTTAAGCTGTTTATTTTGAATATTTTTGCTGTGAAGCGATGTATTGAAAAATTATTTAAAATCAACATAATAAGAAACAAAAATCACAATAAATATTTGACAGGTAAATCAAGCTGTTTGGGAAATTCCTTCGAAATACCGAAATTGCTTGAAATTAATTTCTTTGATGAATACATTGGCATAATTAAAGAGAAGAACATGCTTTTAGTGTCAGGAAGAAATTTGTGTGTTCAAATTGAATCTAGATTTATTCAAACGCGATGATTAATTATTTGTTCGTAGCTAATTAAAGACAAGGACAATTATTAATTAGATAATAATAAATATTAATGTCATTCAATAGCTCAAAATCATGCAAATTTAATTATTTATCTTTCCAAACCACACAAAAGATCATCAATATACAGAGTTTTATTAAAACTTTCAATTTTCAAAATTAAATTATTTTGAATTTTCTGAAACCTGATCGAAAAGCCCTAACCCTTTCCTCCTCTCTAGTGAAAAACAAAAAGAATTTATTCAGTTTCAAGATAATGGATTATAGATTGAAATTTGTTTCCCAGCAAAAAAGGAATTTTGTCCGTTTTTTTTTTCATCTTGACGGTGAAATATGAGCGGATAGAAAAGAGCCGTGCGCACTTTGAAGCAGCGAATCTCAAAGGGCTGCATGCGTATTTGAATGTCAAAGGCTATTCCGTCGGCGACGCTTCTTCCATTAGCAGGCGATGTTGACACACGGAGCTGCAATATTACTTCTTATTACCATGAAAATTCAGCCGACGAAAATGCAATACGACGAGCAGCACTTCTTCTGAAAGCCCTTTGTGTGCCGTCGCTGCTTTTTTTTGCCGAAAAATATATGATATGCCTCGCGAGAATCCGCGCTCTGACGCACACAATTGCCAGGGACATTATGAGTTATGAGAGCGAGTCGCACTTCTTCTTCTTCATTGGCTTCACAGGCGAATGTCGTTCTTTGTGAACCCACCGCTTAGAAATTAATTAAAAATTTTCAAATTGAATCACGATAGTTTGCACTGTAAAAAAATTGATGGAATATTTTGGTAAAATTGAATAATTTATAAGTTGAAAGAGAGAAAAAAATGGTTGCACAAATATTGATTTTAACGTCAAGATTGATATCAACGCAAGGAAATCCGTATGTGTTTCTCTATTCACCAATTAATTCGGTAAGAAGAGACCGAAAATAACAGAACAAAAGCCATGAATCCAGATGCAGTAATTTTTGCAATTATAAGTTAATCAGTGAACATTTTAAACATTAAGGTGCATCCAAGTGCTTAACTCTGGATTACGATAGATTTTGAACCCGCCAATGTGCGGATAATAGAAAATATCTTGTTTATCATCGCACTTCAGTAAATTATAAGTATTTTTTTTTTTTAATTATATTTTTTTGACAGGGTCTCAATTATTCTGCTGTGTACGCGGAATACGATTTTTGTCGGCTGAAAATTACTTTAATGCTTCAACTTGTTTGAAGCCGCCAAGTAAGTTTTTTTAATTTCAATTTCGGCAAAACTTTTGATACAAAAATTAAAGTTGCGGGTTTCAATCCCTACCACCACTATCCTAAAACAATTGTCAACGCTGTCGTCATTGACGTGACGAGTGGTTTGAGCTACGATTGTATAACCCAAAAGGTTTTCCTACCAACAAAATTTTACTACTTACGTCAAACCAGAGTTTTTGAACACTGCAGGACCATTTTACGCTGTTCCATAGAGAAAATCACTGATACCAGTTTTACATAATATGTTGTGGCCCTTTAATGGTGTTTTATTTGCGAGGAAATTGAATTTTACCATCAAGCAGTAATAAACATTTTATTTTATTTTTTACTACTGTTTTGCATCATGATAGTGTTGAATATTAAAAAATTAATAAGAAGAATAATAATTAGAACTGCAATTAAAATGGTAAAATAGTATTTATGATTATAACAGTTACAAACTTTGAAAACTTCACATTTTCATATTTAATATAAAGATTTTCTGTTTAATTTTATTTAATTATTTGGGTTGGCAAATCTCTTTTGGATGCCTCATCGCGAATTCTACATGAGGGGTTGTTTACTTCCACCCTGTGATTTAGCGCACCGGGGCCTTTTTCAAGTGTTATTAACCCCACACCCAACCCTTCTCTCTTTCACTCGCGCCTTTCGAGGGAGTGTGTTTTGGTGCGCGGTGCCAAAAATCCAAATGTGCCGGTCCGACGCCCAAATCCATAATCTGCATCTAATAGATTTCTCCTCGAAAAGGAATGAAAGACGTGCTTTCTTGGCGAGACACTCTCCTCGGTCCCCGCGCAAATAAATCGATGCAATAAAATCCTCCCAAAAATTAAACGTAAAATAGCATTAAAATTTCTCTCTATGTTATACTTTTTCATTGCATTGTATTCGATTGCAAAAAAAAGAGTTCTAAATCTTACTCACAGAATAAAAATGCTGAAAAAACCGATTTAAATTTTACATTAATATTTTATTTAAATATTAAAATAAATATAAAGTTTTGAAAGCTAAAATGGGTCAAATATTTTAATAAAAATTAAATTCGGTTCTGATTCAGTTAACAATACAAAGTCTTCAATTGAAAAATTTATTAGATTCTTGTTTTTATTGACTGGAGAAAGTAACAAAAACAAAATAAATTACAATTTCTTTTTTATAAAATAGATTAATATCTGCGATTCAATATACAATAAAGGAAATACTAGGATTTGCAAGGCTGTTTATTTATTTATTTTTTATCTAGCAAAACAGGAAATTGCTTATCTTAAAAAGAAAAACAAACTCACAGACCCACTTAGCAAAACCATTAAATTTATGTCCACACGAACGTAGATTTTACTAATACTCTGACGTTTTGCAAAAATTGCACGAAATCCTCCTCTGCTATCTTAATTAATACATATTATTGTTTTTTATTGAAGAAATCACATTATTTAAATTCAATTACGTTGTGTTTTACTAATATTGAATTTAATTAATAACTTTTTCAAAGATACCATTCATTTTTGTAATTCACTTTTGCACTCGCCTGTGCCTTAGCAAAAAGGAAAATAATTAAATAAAAAAGGAAGTAAATGAAATAAATTGCCCGAAGCACAATTGTTCAATATAATTTTTCCACTATACTGACCAATAACTTGGTTTCATGTTTACTTTTCCTACACTTTATCGAGATAAAATGAAATTTCTTATGATTGGCGAAGGAAACGTAATAAATATCAGAGAATTGAGATAAGCCGCGTGCAACTTCCTGTCAGCTGTGATTCTGTAGCTAAACTTGTGCATATGAGTAGTTTGTGTTTTCCAAACCGCATGTGAGGAGATGGAGTCGCACCACTTGTGGAATTTCGGTGTTTTCCTTTGCTGTTTGTTTATAATTTTAGGAACTTTTGGAAACGGCCTAACCTTGGCGGTGTTCGTTTACTTCCCGGAGTTTCGCAACAGCATCGGCTACTTTATCTTGAAGTTTGTTATTGCATTCAATTCTACTGGCGATTTTGTTAATTGCGAAAAATTCACCAGCCTGGCCTTTCTCAATTTCGTCACGAGTGCAGTTGTAATTCCTTTAGACACGGACCTATGGCTGAATAGGGGACACTGGACGCTTGGAATTGTCCCCTGCTACATGTCCAAGATTATTTGCTATTCAATTTTGACCGTGACAACAATCAGCATCGGTTTGATTGCAGTGAACAGGTGAATTTAATACATTTATCTATGATAATTTTACTCAAGTATTGTTTTAAGATGGGCCAAAATTTCTTGGAAAGCTGAAAATTACGACAATTTTTTCACAAGCAAGACCATAATAATAATTTTGGTCTCAAGTTTTTTGATCGGAAGTTCTCCAATTGTGCTGATAGCGTGTGGCATTGGCGGTAACCTAATTAAAATTATGTTGATTTTTTCATGACAGGAGTTTTAAATATTTTAGGAAAAATAAAATATATAGAAAATGAACTGCTCTGCGAAACAAAACCAGAGAAATCTTGGTACATATTTATATTAATCGTTGCAATTGTAGGACTTTCGTTGCTATTTTGCTACACAAAAATTTATCTACAATTAAGAAGGTACGTTTTTTCAATGCAAGAATTATATCCTTTTAAAAAAAAACCTCTCACCAGTTCAAGCAAACGAGTTAGACAAAGTGTTACGAGCTCTGCTCAAAATTCGTACAACCGACTTTTGAAAACTTTGCTGACCACGACTGTGGCTTTCATTTTCTGCTTCACGCCCCCCATGGTAATTGGCGCAATAACCGATACAGACACTGGAAAGTCTTCCTTTGGTAAGAATGAGAGAAATCGTGTAATTTCCGTTTTAACAAATCGCATTTTCAGTGGAAAATTATTTATTCTACTTCCCTTACTACCTATCTGTGGTGGTCAACCCTGTCATTTACAGCATCATGAACAGTCAATTCAGAGAAGCGTACAAAAATATTCTTTCAAGAATGTGTCCTTTTGGAAAATGTTCTTCTGACCCTATTCAAAATCAAAACATTGAAAGCTTATAAATGGGGAAAATTTGGTTTTATTTCCACATTGAAATTTCCTCGAGAAGACAAAGACTTCCTTGTTGGATATTAATTCTAACTTTAGTCATTTGATAATTTATAAAGCAAAAAATTTATATATTGTGTTATCAAAATTTAAATTGTTCCAATCGTGGTTTTGACGTCTTTGATGTTATCGGCTGTAAGTGTCGCTGTTTATTGAAACGCGAACTGCCGAGCACAAAGCACGAGGAAATAAACTTGGAATCAAAACATTTCCTGATTTTTTATTGAGTTGTATGGACATGGAGGAAAAAAGCTGCTGGAATTTATTAGGAGCTTTCATTAGCATTTTCTGCTTCGTGATCGGCATAGTTGGCAACCTTTTGACACTGGCATTATTCTATAAATTTAAGAAATTCAGAAACAACCTCGGAATGTTTATCCTAAGGTAATAATTTAAATGGCTATTTTTTGTGTTTTTTATTTTGTCAAACATTTTGTTTAGTTTAACGATCGTGGATTTGCTATCCTGCTTTTTGGTTATTCCGATCAATTCTTGCTATTTTTTCTTCCACGGAAAATGGACGTACGGAGAAGTGCCATGCTTCATAGGAAAGATATTTTCTTATGCAACAATGGTAACGACTGTAATAAACATAGGCCAAATCGCCATTAACAGGTCAGAAAATAATACATAATTATCACTCGTTTGTAAAAATATTAAATTTAAGGTGCTTCAAAATTTCCTACTCACATTCAATCTACAAGAAAGTTTTTACGAAGCTCAATCTGGCCTGCATGCTAATTTTCAGCAGATTCGTTGGTTATGTCACCGCTGGTCTTGTGAGTTCCGGTGTCGGTGGTGAGGAAGTCTTGATTATTCAATTTAATCTCTAATGAATAATTTAATATTTATAATTCAAAGGGAAAATTGTGTATGACGAGGAAAATATGGTTTGCAACATGCAGTCGAGTTTTGCTTTTTACGTTTTCATCGGCGTATTTTCGATAACAATAGTCATCCTTGCCGTTTGCTACACAAAAATATTCTTAACTTTTAAGAGGTAAATAAATCTGTTTTTAAATTTTAATTTAGCAATCAAATAAAATAATCAAAAGTTCAAAGAATTCATGTCAGCAAAACTCTGACAACGCCCGAGCGACCGAAACGCAAATTTTGAAAACCGTTCTCGCCACCAATGTTTCATTTCTCATCTGCTTTCTTCCACCGACTGTGCTTTGGTTTGTTTCCATGGATCCGGAAAACGATATTGACCAAAATGGTATTTCAAAATTTGAATAATAATTTTCCGAAATTTAATTACCGTTTCAGTTGTCAACTTTTTCTTCAACGTTCCGTATTTTGTATCCGTCATCGTGAACCCAATAATATATGGGGCAATGAACACGCAGTACAGGAAAGGATACATGGAAATCCTGACTAAAGCCAGACGAGCGCCAGAGAGAAGCATGGTAATCTCTTCGATTGGGGTTAATGGGCGAACAACTTCTCTCTTTGACACTAATTAGTACTAATTAATACATATATTTAAAAAAAAATGAAACAATTAGTCTTTATAAATTGTTGATCGTGATGGAAATCTGGTTTTCTATTAAATTATTTACGTTAAATTCATTTAAAAGAAATCCTGAAAGATTTTATTTTAATAATAGTTCTTATTGTTCAAACTTCTATTTTAACGATAGTCTTTTCAGTTAAAATATTCCAAATTCACGCCATTGTATTTTTTTTAAATTATTTTTAATTAAAAAAAAAAAACTTCAAATTTATTATAAACATGATGAAAAAACTATAAACTGCTTAAATAAAATCAATATTTTGCATTTTAATTAACACCTCTTTTGCATACAAAATTAAAAAGCGAAATAATTGCGCCTCTCTCGTTATTTTGCGGCACGTCAGCGAGACAAACACATTAGCATGCAATTCTCTCTTCATTAAGTGCGGCGTTAGCGAGCGAGCGCGTTGTAAATCATCCTGGGTGGCAGGCGAGGCGCGCAATGGCGGTGCCAAGTAGGTGCGATGATTGTCGAGAGCGAGATGCGGACCCGCAGCACTGCGGCGCGCTTAGGAATGTGCGATATTGGTCCTTAGCAATGAGAGACGGACGCGAGAGAGCGGCAGGCATTTTCATTCAGAGCGGTCCGGGGAATGATTAATCGAGCAGTCGAAATAAGAAAAGTTTTCACGCCGCGCCAAATTGTTTTCGTCTGCGCGTCAATTTCACGCTCGGCGCCTAAATCCTTTTCTCGGCAGGGCGAGCGAGAGAGCGAAAGAAAATCTGAATGACAACATTCCCTTTCTCGACAGAGAGTCGATCGAGCTGTGCGTTATTTGTGATCGTCCTTTTTCAAACAAGGTCCAGAGAGGAGATATTGGAAAATAATCCAATATTCCTATGATATATCAATTCTTCAATAATATTAATATTTTATATTGTTGCCACTGAATTAAAAATTTATTTTCGTAATAGAATAGTTTGATTTTTTTTACAAATTTTAATCACAAAGGTGTCTCCTAACAATTGACGCAAAAAATGTATTCTTAATTTTTAAATTTCGATCTGAAATCATTCTCCCTAGATAATTTATATAAAATTATTATTCTTAAATAATACATATAACTTATTTATTAGTAAATTAATTCAAATTTTATTATTTACTTAAAATAAGTAATAAAATAAATACAAATATTTCATAAATTTAAAAAATAATTAAGACAGGAAGTAATATTTAAAACAGTATTAAAGCTCATAATTATACCAATATTCAGATTGAGCCAAAATAAATTTTACCATCAATAAAACGCCCATTTTCTAGAGTTCCAAATAAATATTGCTCAAATATTTGTTACCACGAGGCTAATTTTCAAAAAAATAAGCAAAAAAACTTACTTAAAATTAAATTTACTTTTTCTTAAAAAAAAAAGAATGAAATAGTTTTCAAGGTTCCTTTTTGGGCTGCGTTGAGCAAAAAACAACACTCCAGCAATCTGATAGCGTTTAAAGAGCAAGCTCGAAGACAAACGCCGAAAGCCCATTTCTCAAGCCCTTCTTCCAAGTGCATTAAGTGAGAGACAAATAGAATGCAAAGAAGTTGGCCTGTGATTTATTGACCGACGCGAACGTAAATCCTTTCCTGAGCCCGATCCGAATCTGGTCGTTCCGGCCGAAACCTCCGTGGGATTTGTGATCTCGGGCAGGAATTATAGTTATTGCGTTGGCCAGCAATGCGAGATATTTGCCAGCCGCGTGACAGATGGAAAAGCGCGATTAAGGTGCAGCGCAAAAAAGGGTCTCTTTAAAAGCCTCTGCTTTTCAGACTCTTCTGCACATTTAGATAATTGCCTTTCTCTCCTTTTTGTGCAGCCTGAGCTACGGCCGGGTTTAAGAAAAGGAGCAAGCAATGGGAGCAAGTGACGCCGGCAGGACGCACGGACAAAGAAGAAAGCATGATAATCAAAAGTAATGGATGGAAAAGAGAGAAAGAAAAGATTAAATTGAATCTGCTGCGCGCGCCCCACGGCCATCTCGATTAAATGTAAATTAAATTGCCTTTTGGTTGCGTTTCCACGCGAACGGCTTTGTTTTTGTTTTGCGCGAGCGGGTATTTATTCCAGCCGAGGGATATTTGGTTTGCATATGGAGCAGCAAACATAAATTTAAATATGAGAGAGTAGAGGATTACTGAATGTAATTGAAGTTATTTAAATATTAGGTTTTCGGGAAACAATTGTTTCTTCTCTCACTTTTTTAGAAAGTAAAGTTTATTAACAACAAGCAACGTTTTTAGTTAAGATAAAAAAACAATTTTAAAAAATTATATAAAACTTATAATAAAGAATTTTTTTGAAGAAGTTGACACTCGAGGAGATGATCATGGAAATGAAGAAATCGGGCTTTTCCTCGCTGCAAAAAATTGTTTTTATTAAAAAACCAACGGCTCTACCAGTTTCGGTCACGGTCTGCGACCCTATTTCAATTTGGTAGAGCCGTTTGTTTTTTAATAAAAACAATATTTTGCAACGAGGAAAAGCCCAATTTCTTCATTTCCATTATAATAAAGAATCATTTTTTAACAAGTTTTTTTTTTTGGGCTAGTTTAGGTTACTTTAAAGGGAACAAAATATTCAATTCTTTTTTATTAACTCACAACAAGCCAAACCACATAAGTGAAAAATAAAATGAGGGAGGATTAAAAACCATCTCTAGAAAACAAATTTACTAATTGTAAAATATACAAACATAATTTGAATACAAAAGTAGTTTTAGGTTCAAGAAAAAATATTTATTGGGTTCGAATTTAGGGAAACTATGCCCCATACATGAACTCATCCAAATAAATGACAAAAAAAAAACAAAAAAAATTTAAAGATACCCTGCCAAGCTGGAGCTATGAACGAAAGAGTGTCAAAAAGTCACATACTTTTAAGGGCAGATGGCAGAGATTTCCACTGTTTTGCGATTTGGAATGAGACTTTTCATAATATGTTATTAATTATTTTAAACCGAGAGCTCTTTCCAATTGTATGGAATTTTATACAAAAAATTTGGAGTTTTAAATTTCATTTAGAAACCGAAAAAAATCTTTCAAATTTTATTATTATTTATTGTGGAATTTGTTGCTGTTTAAATCAAATGATGTGGTTTAGCATTAATGAATTAATTTACTTCTCTTGATGCTCAAATTGATTTTTGCGGGAACAGATGAGCATTGATAATGGAATTTCAACTTGCAAAACAAAACAAAAACGTAACTTGTTTGTCTTAATTTTTTTTAAACTAATTTTTTCCATTATTCTTGCGTCTTGTAATAAAAAATAGAGAAAAAAATTGAATAAAATTTAAGTTTGTAGTCATATCAGAACAATTTAAAATGCAAAATCGACGCTCATATTCAGAGCGTGTGCATGTTTTGGTTGAGGAATTCGCCATTCGCCAACCCGCGAGAATTGCACCCCATTTGGTACATTGAGCGCTGCATGTTGCTTCACTCGCTCGACTCTCATCTCGCGGCAGCAGCAGCTGAGCGAGTTTGCTGAAAATAATATGTCCTTGTAATATGTAAACGTGCGCGCGAGCTAATTTCGCGTGCACAAGAGAGACGTACTTGGGTTAATTCTGAGTAAACCGCTCTCCTATTCCGGCAGCTTTAATGAAAGCAAATAAAGGCCAACAAACGAACAAGGAACTTTACAAAAGTGTGTTTACAAATGCAACCGACGTCAAATTTCAAATTAGAGACTGCCTTGAGCCGCAGTTAAAATTTAATTCTAATTGCACGCGCGTTCATTATAATTCCTCTCTATAATTTCAGTTAAATTTTCCAGCAACAGCACCAAATCTGAAGTTTATAAGGAAATGTAGTGGAGTTAAACATTTGAAAGTAATCAATGTTCTCGGTTGGCCTTAATCCTGCTCTTATCTATAATTTCAAGTGGTTGCACGATAAAATTTCACAACGTATTACACGATAAATTTTTATTTTTAAATTAGAAAACGTAATCTTTGTTGTACATAGTAATAAAGGAGAATCAAACAGGCATGGACGGTCTATGGTGGAATCTGGGGCTCGTCTGTAGTTTTTTCTGTGCAGTTATCGGAACTCTTGGAAATTGCTTGACCTTCAGCATATTCATTTTCTTCAAAGAATTTCGCGATTCGATCGGTTTGCTTATCATGGGGTAAATAAGCATTATTATTATTAATTTTTTTTTAATTTTTATTAAAAAATCTTGGATTAGGCTTACGATTTCCGACCTTTTGACAAGTCTAGTCGTCGTTCCGCTCAATGCCACGTTTTTCATTGCCAAAGGAAAATGGTGGCTGGGCAAAGTCGCCTGCTACATTGACAAATTTTTGTCTTACGGTTCACCATCCTTGGCAATCATTTTAATGTCTTTCATTGCAATTAATAGGTAAGTCAGTTTATCCATTAATTGAAAAATCAACTTTGGAAATTTCATTAGGTGGGTAAAAATGACAAAGCCAAAAGAAACCTACAAAAAACTATTTTCCAAACGAAGCGCCAAAATTCTTCTAGCGATTTCACCTTTCATCGCATTTTTTCCAATTACTTTGGCCTTTTTCGATGTCACCGGTGAAAATAAATGTTTCTTTCAATGTTAAAAAAATTCAATTTTTTTTAATTACAGCCTCGTTGAAGTACAACGATGGTGGTGTTTGCTCAGTCGTCACACTCACGCACTCTTCGATTTTGACATTTTGCATTTTCGGCACCAATGCGGTGGTAATAATTTTCTGCTACGTTAGCATTTACTTCAAGGTTAGAAGGTGATTCGTTATAATTTTTTTTTTTATAAAATAAAAGTAAAATAAATACAATTTTCAGACATGATTCGACTATGGCACCCTCTTTTCACACAAGCATGCGATTTTTAAAAATGGTGATGGCCACAGCAATGTCATTTTTTATATGCTTTACACCTGTCACCATTTTTGTGATCATATCCGGTGGATACAAAGACAACGTTCAATTTCCCGCAGGTATCACAAAAAGCACATGGAAGAGTTACCACTTTTTAAATTATTTTGGTTTTCAGTGAAACACTTCTTGCATCAGTATCCATACTATTTTTCGGTTATTCTTAACCCTGTCATTTATGGAGTCATGAATAGGAGATACAGAGAAGCCTACTTGGCTGTTTTGAGAAAAACATTTCCTTGCTTCTCATCAAACTAAATAGATTGTCATAAACTATCACAAACAAAACAGAAACAAAATATATTAATTTTAGAATTGAAATAAAATTCAATTATATTTCTTTTGCAATTTTTTATTGGTGATTTTAATAATTTAGCATTTTATTTTTATTTAAACTATGTAAAAAACATTTTAAAAACGATTTTGCCAACAGCGGCGGATGGGGTCTTTTTGATCTCAAAAATTTCAGCAAAATTTTTGCTAGCGATGGTGCCGTTTTGTCCATTGTTTTCAAAAAATGTATGTAAACAATGTGATGTAACAATTTGGACAAATAAACAACAATGACAATAATTCTTTAAGCAGTTAATGTGCGTTTTTAATTACGTTAATTGCTGGCAAGGAAATACCAGCTTGGTGGTGACCCAGAACAGAAATGTGATAAATTAATGATAAGAGCTGGTAAAATTTTTATTATTTCAATTAAATTTATAATCATATTTTTTTTAATTTAACGAGGCAGAATAAACAAGAAGGATACTTTTTAATAAAAAAAAAAAAAATGAACAAAATATCAATAAATAATATTGCACAATTAATTGATTTTTCAATTTGACCTTAGCTCGAGAAAAAATTCAAGGGCGATCCAAAGGCCTAACTTGAATTATGGGTTTCAGTTATCCTGGGATCGTACTCATTAATCTGAAATAACATTCAAAACAATTTGTAATCAATGAAATCTATAGAAAGTTCAAAAAGCTCAGCAGTATTGGTCAAGGTTCATTTCAAGAAAGGGCTGCAGATTTGGGGTAGAAATCTCTTTTGCGGTCCAAACAGACGCGGCAGCCTCCGTGCTCTGTGAACTGATTTAATGGTTTTATCCGTTCAGCTCTGACTGAGAGTTCGGCAACTCAAACAATCTTATCCTCCATCCATCATTCTAAGCGTGGTGCAGATTTGAATAATCATTCCTCATTCCCAAAGAGCCTCACCCGCCATTTCACTCTCGAGGACGATTTGTACCAGACGAATTCCTCGGCCGATTATTGCGTGGGCAAAAAAAGGCCGACGAGAGATCGGACTAATTTGATCCTATTATGATTCTCAGCCGGTTAAACCAAGAGAAGAAATTTGTCTCTCTCGGTGTCGCTCCCCCGGGGCTTTGGCAATCGAGTGGCCTCCCTCGCTAGGCCGGAGCCACCCTCTCGCTTTATTGGGTTAGCGCAGCCCGAGCACAATTATTTGCAATTTGCCCGGCCATCTCACTCATTAAATTACAGCAGCCGGCTAATGTAATTCGGAGCTGACCGCGCCAAATTTACTTTGCTCGACACTTTGTGTCCTCCGGTCAAACATTTTGCTAGCTAAGAGCACCAAATTAAATTTTAACTGTGTGCGAGATAATTTATAGAGAAGCTAGTTTACAAAATTCGTGGCCTCTTTGATGAACTTCATGTAGAATTTAAAAAAACACAAACAAAATGCTTGTCAGTTTTTAATCATGAAACCGTTGTCGTTTGTTTAAATAAGATATAAAAAGCTGAATTTATTTATAAAAAGTACAAAATTATAATGATTATTACTATAATTCACTTTTGTGCCTAAATTTCCTTGATGCGTTTCAAAAAGAGTAAAATTAAATTAAATAATTATTAATAAATTAATTATTTATAAAAATAAAAATTTATTTAAATTAAAATATTACTTATATATACTTTAAAATTTACTTGTTAATTCACTTTATATTAAAATCTTTATATAAAAATTTTTAAATTGTATTTAGCAAATCTGTTATGATTAAATCCAATATGTCTGTTTTTTTTGCATTTTCCAGGGTAGCAAATTATTCACGTTTTTTTTTTAATTGCTTCGATATATTTGGATAAAATCTGATTTTCCAGTAGAATAGCATTTTTTTTTTTTTACAACAAGGCCAATAACAGTACAAAAGAGGAAGATTTATTTTCTTCACATTTTATTTCTTAATTTGATCATTAATTCGTCTCCAATTCTCAGTACTGGAAGTGGAAGCATATCATTAAAAATAATGAGATCCTGAAGGAGCCTGAATCTCGAATTCCGCTTTATTGAAACACAAGTTGGGAATCGCGTCCCTCCCATTTCTGCACACCGCGCGATTCACCAGAGGAGATTATTATTTGGGCCGTGACCTTCATCGGCAATTACCATTTCGCAAGTCGACCGGGTCGTATCTTCCTCTTTTGACCCGGCCTCGTTTCTTGTGCATAAACTTAATTTCCCCGGAGAGATTTTAATCTATGATGCAAAGACCCTTTGCGCCGGTCTCTCTTGCAAAATATCAGCACACGGCAGCACCAAACGCAATTTATGACGAGTCAATCAATATTCCATAAAGCCGACCCGGCCGCTCTTTGTCCCCGGCCTGCTGATGGAAATTTGAATTGCATTTTGTGAAATTGCCATGATGGATGCCTGCGAGACTTTGATGTAGGCCACCGGGGACGCACCGGAGACCGCGCCGGTTGCATAACCCCGACGGTGAGAAGTAGATTGGGTATTACGCTTTGAGCTCTTGAGATTAGTTTTAAAAGAAGCAAAGTTCACCTGCTTTTTATGAGTTTTTTTTTTAAATATTCATGAAAATTGATGAATCCTTAAGAGGATTTTGTTATATTTAATCAAAGAAATTTGAGCTAAACACAAAATATCCATAAATTATAAGACAAACGCGATTGTTTTACAACTGCAGAATAGTTCAATAATGGCATACAGTGGAAATAAAATGGTTTAAAGCAATCCAGGAAATTTTAAAATTATGAAATTCTTAAGAGATATGAGAATATGATGTAAAAACTTTGATATAAATTTCATCCTAACTAATTTCAACTAATTTTATTCTATAATATTAATTTATTTTAATATAATTACGTACATTAAATAAGAAATTTAAAAAAATATAGTATTGCTTAATTTGTAAAAAAATTCATGAACTGTTTCAGGGATGTTTGAATAAAAATGCATCGCTCTACTTTTCGTTCAAGGGCTAAAGAACTTTGCCCTTTTTTATTAACCCTTTTTCCACGTATTTTCATTTTATTTATTTTTTATCTGTGCCCTGTGTGTTGTGCCACGCTCTTGTTTACTGATGGATTTTCCACTCGAAACACTCCGACTGTCCTGTCTGTGCCATCGACGCGCGAGATATCCACGCGGGCCTCACTGCCTCGCGCGAATTCCATTTGCGCTGTTTACAGCCGAGCGGCCAACCAGGAAGTGCATAAAATCAGATAAAGCACAATTCCGACTGAGAGCGAAACTCACTCTCTCGCATTCCATCGCACGGAGCACCGAGTCAAAATATTGTTTCGGCCGCGATGGCTTTTATTGACAGTGAATGTAATTTATCTGCGCCAGTGCCGGGCTGGCGCGCGGCGCTGAGTGGCATTACGGCTCTTGGAAACGAGATTAATTAATATGCCATCGGAACACAGCCTCGTCCTGCTTTGCACATCTCGTTGCGATGCGAGAGCGCTTTTCATTATACATCACGCTGCATTATCGATCGGCAGCCCTTTTTGATGTCCACTTGACTCGAAAATTGAGATTAATTGCGGCTTTGTGCGCTGAAAGAAGCACCTATGTAAAATTTTGCCTCTCACCAGGTCACCTTCCGCGTGCAATGATTGGCAAAATTGGAATAAATTTTTAAGGTGTTTCTACCTGTTAAATTAATTTCTTTCCCCCAAATTAATTACTTCTTTTGTTAAAAAAAACTTTGTCGACGGGGTTTTTTTTTTGCTTAAAATTTAATATTAATTAATTGGAAATTTTGATTGTCTACTGATTGTGAGAATAAAAAAAAAAACGATTTAATTTTGTATCAAAAGGGCTATTTATAATTTTTTGTACCTTGCATTAAAAAGCAGAAAAAAATCATTTATGTCGCCAAATCATGAACAAAAAATTTCAACTCTCGAGGGTTTAATCAAAGCTTCACCTTTTCCCACCTAAAATCACTTGAACCTTGTGAGAATTTTTGATTTCTAAAAAAATTATATCATATGGTCAAAATTAATTAAAGAAAGGAACGTTTTTTTTAACAATAGAAATCATTGTCAGCTAAGGCTTTAACAAAATTATTTTAATTGTTCAAGTAAAGTACAAATTGTATATCTAATTTATTTGAAATCTAATTCAATTTTAAAATTTTATTATTATAATATAAATATTTTAACGTTTTTAAAACATTAAAAACAATTATTTAGTTTTTATTGAGTTATTTAATTTTTATAGTTGCAATTGTGTTAATTAATGTATCAATGCTCAATTTCATAATTATACATAAACATTTTATTTTATGAATTAAAATCTGGCTCAGCTTTTAATCTATATCCTGAAAATGTGGCCTGCATGGCTATTCATATTAACCAGCAACAATTGCTATTATTATGTCTATGAATATTTAATATAATATTATAAGATTCATATCATTTAAAAATCATTACAATGCTACTAAAATAACTGACAAAGCAAGTTCTTTTCTGTATTTTGAAACGTGTAAATCGTTCGCAATACTGAAACACACTGCGTATCAGGATTTAAACCCCTTGAGACTAGAAATGTAAAATAACAATTTGACTAAAAAAAAATTGTAAATTTTTTCCTTCAGTAGTGGATTTTTTTCTTGCTTTTAGTATTTTCTGGTATTTGAAAAACCTTTAAAAAAAATCTAAGTGGAAAACTTGCTGAACTAAATTTTCCTTTCCTTTTTGTTCCAGGTAAGGACGGACGGATAAGAATAGGCTGAGCACCAGCAATTCTCGACAGCCGCGTTTCCCTCCCCGAAGGCCCCGTGCGCGTCGGTGGAAATTCATGGTGTGCCCTGCAAACTTTGGGCCGACGGCAAGTAATAGAAACGACCGCAGCGTGGAGGGCGATAAAAATTCCCGCCTCTCGATCCGCACATTTGTACGAGATGCTCGCGCGAGCCGGAAAAAAGGGCCGACTGAATTATTTTCTCGCGGAAAGAAAGTTGCGAATCCCGGGGGACGACGCGTTAATGTCCCGCACAATGTGTGGCACCCGGAGGATTTTTTTATTATAACTTATTGTGCGGCTTTTCGTAGAACGTATTTCAATGCGCGGCCGCTCGAGAATCGCCGACCGCGTTTGCCAGTCAGATTTCCCCAGAAAGACGTACGCGCGAGTTGAGGGAAATTAATTTCGAACGGACGTCGTTGCAAGAAAAATAATGGGCACGTCTTTTTTGCTGAAATGAGATGGGTTTAGATGGAATTATTCCCCGAGCAGGTTTCTGCTCTTTGAAAGAAAAGTTGTAGAGGGCGTCTCTGTTTACCATTTCGTCTCAAATAATTTAATCAAGCGTTTATTTATAGTAAGTCTTCATCAACGAAAAAAAGCAAATACTGTAGTTCAGTTTATGGTAATTTAGTTCGATATTTGTTCATTTTACAGAGATAAATTTTAAAAAGTACACAAATTTGAAAATTTTCATATTTCACCGATTTATATTGATTCAATTCAACTATTGATCAAACCCTGCTCGTCCCGAAATTATGTTGGTACACAGCAGCCGTCAGAGACATGGGGCCTTATGGCTCTGGGAGGTAGACATCTTTTTTTTTGGCCAACATAACAGAGCTGATGAGCAGGGTTTGCTATTGATAAGTAAAGCACTTGCCGAAACAATTTAAAATTATAATAGTATTTTGCTACTTTTGATTATTTTTAGCTTTGCTGCCAACAATATAGTTAATTATTTGTGTTCATTTCAGCAGCTGAAAATTAAAATATGTTTTCATAGACAGTTTGGGAAATCACATAGTTTTTAAATGCAGAGATAATGGAAATTCAGAAGGGCAGCAGACAAAAATTTAAAAAAAGGAGCTGATTGACTGAGACTTTCAAAACCCCTTATTTTTATTAGATTCCGCTTATTTATTAAGTTGTATTTTTTGGAACTTCATTTTCATAGAATATTTGCTGTCCAAAATTTATTAGAACGGACTATTTTTTACAAATAATGTCTTATTTTTTATTTTTAATTAATAACTACTATTTTGTTCCAAATTTTATCATTAAATAACACAACAGTTTACTCTAAACTTTCATTGAAATCTCATAATTGAAAGAAAAAAAAAACAAGCATGTAAGTTGGAAAAATAATAATTCTAATAATTAAAACACGTTTAGTTTGTACTCAGAAATAAATATATTTATTATTAGTCAGTTGTATAAATTAGCATCTCTTTGGAGAGCTTTCAATTTTTTTTCAACTTTTTTCACATGGTTTGTGTTTCGCCTGGCCAGAGGCGAGGGGTGAGTTTTCGGCTGGACGCGCGGTATTGCCCAATAAATAAGCCCAGGAGCTTCGCACACGCGGCCGGAGGAAGGAGGAGGTCGAAGGGAATTTTTAGCCGTCGGATAAAATTTCTTACGGCACGTGATAAAACGCCGCCGTAAACAGCAGAGGCGATTCAACGCAAATGTGAAAAACGGCCGCCGATCATTTTCCCACGCGGGCCAAAGTGGACAAAGTGCCTCTTCATCAACTCTTCCTCAGGCCGCTTTTCGAGCCCTTTTTAGTGTTAGTGTTATGAACCCAGCACCGTCGGGGGTTGGTTGGTTTGTCGGGGGTGAAGTGGAGGAAACGGTTGTCGTCGGTCGGTTGGTGCAAATAATGTCCCTCATTGCTGGCGGACGAATCCTGAAAAAGACAAAAAATTTAATTTTTTTTATACATTTTAACATTGAACTAAATATAAATTATTGCCTAAAATCATGATTAACATAAAATACCTTATGTAGAATATTAAAAAAAAACCTTCTTGCTAATTGTAAGTAGTGTAGATTAAAAATTAGTTAAGCTGATTCTGGCTGAGAAGAAAGTTTTATCTAATATTTAATTTTTTTTTTATAATATTATTATTCCCTTTTCAAACTATTTTCTCATGAATTAGGGCTGAAGACTCTATTAAAGCTGTCTTTTTTTTCTCAATAAAAAAATATTTGCCTCTTCAGCATTTTGCTCAAGTTTTTCGGTGCATTCAGTGTCAGTTGGAGAGCTCAACAAATTGGCCAACCCGAGCACGCAGCCGAGAAAAATATTGCTCTTTTTACTGCGTCACATCGGCGTCGCAAATCAAATTGCCGACGTAAACACACTGGCAGGAAATAAAAGGCTCGGATGATAAACAAGGCGGGGTGATTTAATTTCGAATATTGCATCAGCGCCGAGTGGATGGGCGCAAAAGCAATCACGGCCAGGGTTCTACACGCTTTATACATGTGAAGGGCATAATAATGGGGGTGAAAAGTCTGCCCCGATTTGCATTTTGGGCTTCAAAGGCGCCCCTGATTACGCCCGCTGCGTTCCCTCATTACTTGGCAATTTGAAACTTTGCTTAAACACAGGGATATGAGATTTCAGATATAATATGATCAGGTTCGGCTGCCATAATAATGATTTACTATAGTTTTGTGGTAGAATTTCACGATCAAGGGTTGATTCATGGTGATTTGAATTTAAAGTCGGCTTTTCCTCGATGAGTTTTGTGTTTTCTTAAAAAAAAAAAAAAATCACAAACCCATCGAGGAAAGCCGACTTTAACTTCAAATCACCGTGATTTATTAGTTCTTCAAATCCCATCATTTGAAACACTTTCAAGTTTAAATTAAATTATAATCTACATTTTTTGAATAAATTCAATTCTCACCTCCTTTTTTACCCTCTCGCTCTCAATTTATAAATAAATAAAATAAATAGAGATACATTTCTGAGTATTCTATTTTACCGACTTTTGTTAATCCTTAAAAATTTCATAAAGCAGTTGTAAGCTTTTTTTAAAGACGAAATCAAAGGCAAAGAACTGGAGGAAGTAATTTAAAGTTGAACGTTTCGTCTGAAGTTGGCAGCGCGTATTACGAGCTGCGCAACTAATTTGGCCAAAGTTTAATCCAATTTTCTTATTTTCGCAACCAAGATTGCGCAACTCGAATTCCTTATTCGCTCTGGAGGAGCCGTTTTGGCATCCGCAGCACTGCCATGTATAGCGAATAAAAACAAACAAAGGGAAAAGGAACAGCTCATTTCACTGCGCGCAAAATTCCGCGGGCATATCAGACTCTTGTTTGTCCCTTGCTTATTCCGGCTGCGTACCAAGCCACTGATTTTAAAAGGCTCCAGCGCCACCAGAATAAATAATAAAATTACTCGCTCCGCAAACCAATCGATGCGCCACGGGTTTTTTTAATAATTGGATTTGTGCCCATAAAATAAGCAGCCGGCGGCGGCAGCACCCACTTTTGAATTTACATAAAACTAGTGCCGGGCGACAAAGATATGAGCGAGAGAGGCGCAAAGCAAACGGCCCGAGAGTGCCGAGAGCGAGATTTTTATCGGCCCGATCGAGTCAATAACCCACAGCCGGCGGTCGTGTTTTTTTAATACAAATAGCCCTGCGGAATCTGCAATCTGGGCAGGCAAAGAGATGGTTGAAAAATATTCAGTTTTGCACCCTCTCTAAAAGCTGCGTTATAGTTCATATATTTGGAATTTTCAAGGAAGAGTCAAAATAGTAAGATAAATAAAATTATCTTACAAAATTTTAGAATTAATTACTAAACAAGCATAGATTCATCGATTTAGTAAGTAAAAAATTCAATTAAATTGAAATAACTGAATCTTCTCCTCACTTTTCCTGAAAAGTGCGAACAAAACTAAATTTCATGGTGACTTGAATTTAAAGTCGGCTTTTCCTTGATGGGTTTTTGTGAGTTATTTATTGTTTAAGAAAAACAATATTATAACAATTAATTTGCTTTAACAAAATTTTCTTCATTCAATTTCAAATTTTGTGTTAAAAATTGTGTTGTGAAAAAGTGTAAATTTAAATAACTTTTCACTTTGAAAGAAAAATCATTTTTGACAAAAGATTGATTTTTTATTAATTCCTGTCAAAATGATTTCACAGCTCATGAATTATGGCTGCAGCCGAAACATGTAGAGCAGGATTTTGGTTTTTCTTAAAAAAAAAAAATTTAAAAAAAGCACACAAAAACCCATCGAGGAAAAGCCGAATTTTAAATTCAAATCACCATGAATCAGCCCTCGAACGTGAACTTCTACTACAAAATTTAAGTTTGTCAACAAATTTGGCCAATTGAAAAAAAGAAAAATCATAAAATAACCCAATTTGTGGCCGTTCATCCCAAAATAATTGCTTGTAATTATTGAAAAATATTATTATCTGTAAAATATTGAACGTTTCTGACTCGTAGAAAGAAAATTTTAAGGAATTTCTCATAGTTTAAAATTGAACTTAAATATTTTAATTAATTTTAATTACCTGGCGCAATTCTGACTGGTGGCAGGTGGGCGAATCCTCCGTAGTAGGCGGAGAGGTCGGCGGGCAGGGGGTACTTTTGCTGCTGCTGCTGGTAAAAGTACCTCCAAACCTGCTCGTGTGTCTTCTCAGGCTCGGCTGCCGGTCCTGCCGGCGTCGCGTCCGACGGCTGCTGCTCTCCCTGGGGGTACTTGGAGGTCGAGTTGCCGCAGTCGACCCTGTACGGATAGTCGCACACGGCCAAGTTCTGCAATCACACGCAGAAGCTAATTAGATCCAGAACTTCAAAGAATCGCACGCGCCGAGCGCTAATTGAATTACGCTGAAATAATTTCCCTCGACCCCATTACAGTGAATTCAAGCAGGTATGGCAGCCTGCGTTTGTCGCGCACGTAAAGCGAAACAATGCGGCACAAATGAAGTTCTCTTCCTCGCGCAGGAGGAAGAAGAAAACAACACGTTGTCTTTACTATTGTGCGCGACTAATTCAATGAGGGGCGCGCAACGTGAATTGCCCAAATTCCGGCTCTGGGAAGAATAAAAGTGGATTGGGCGCGAGAGCTTTTATTGTCTGCGCCTGATACGAGTTCCCGCAAAAGGTTGGAAACTGCAAAGAGGCTTTGAATCGATTTCCACCGGAATGTATTTATTTGCTAAATTTGCTACCCAACCTTTTTTTGCTTTTATACCCCCCAAATTGCTTAATTTAATTTAAATTTATTGATATTTTTCTTTTGATCTTTGGGTGATTGCAGTTTTTTTCAAATTGTTCAAAGTATGAGCCACGAAAGAGCCTCTGTGAATTATAAGGAAAAAGATATTGAAATTTTAGCACTGAAATCCATGATAAAAAAAACGCGCTTAAGCAGGTTTATTGAAGATTCACTTTTTTTTCTCATCATACAGAATTTTATTTCAACCGTGAAAGAAGGTTGATCTGAAATGCTAGTTATTTGCCAATTTGATTGAATTTAGTTATTTAGAAATCGAGATTCAAGTCCTTTAACGTTCAAAAAATGCTTTTTGTGGGAAAAGTCTTGCAGAGGAAAATTTAAAAAAAAGGATCTTTGTTTCATCCTGGTAAATTATTTTAAGTGTTATACTTTCTATATAATTTTTTTGTTATACGAATAAAATATAAAACTGTATTATTGCTAGTGAAATTCATTAATATTTTTGTGCAGAATTTACTTTCTCAAAATAAAAAAACCCACAATTCAAAATCAAAAGTACATCAATACATATTTATATAATTTTCAGAATTTAATTTCCCTTATTTTCAGGCACAGATGGAAATTCATTCAAAATTACTAATTTTTTTCAGAAACTATTGGCGAAAAACTGATTCTAAATATAAATCAAAATTCACTGGTGGTGAAATTCAGCGAGTCGTCGTATGAATATTTATGAGCGCCCAGAGAGTCCCGGTGGCATTTTATTGTGCGTCCCTTGCCAATCATATATCATCAGAGTGCATCGCCATGGTTCGTCGTTTTTCGCGCCGATCGTCATTGAATCCGGCGCTTTTTCGCGTTTAATTTGAATGCGTCGCCATTCCATATGTCACAAAGAGACAAAGCAAATCTGTCACAATAAAACAACAATATTGCTTTGTGCGCGAACCGAGAGCTCTAGAATGCTCGCGACAACTCGCAAAAATATACATAGAAAATTCGCCCGCACTCGGCAAAAAACATTCGTTCTCCGTGCGAATATATTATCGTTGAATAGGTGCTGCACGGGTAAAAAGATACTCTTGTGTCGGGGCAATTGCGGCGGCACCCTTTTTGTGAGATGGGCCAATATCGTTGGACACGTTGCAAAAAAGAGAGTGAGGTGGGAAAAAAATATATTTATATTTTCAGAGTGCTATAGATAAAAACGAAAAAAAGGTTTATATCCTGAGAGGCCTGAGAGAGGACTTTGCAGACCAAAAATATGCTAATGTTTAGTGTTAAAAAGAAGATAATTTTAAAAATTAAATGAAATACATATTAATTAATATTAAACTAAAGTAAATGGAAAAAAAATATTTTTTCAAAATTACAAAAATAATTTTAAACGTAAAAAATGGATTAAAGGATCAGTCAAAAAAAAATCTTTTGATTTTTTTAAATCTTGAAATAATACCAACAGATTCCAGATATCTTTTTACATAAATTTTTTCTTACTTTATATTTCATTTTACAGTTGTTGTAATTTACAGCTTCTACAACGTTTTAGAAATTAATTATTTGTCATCAAGAATAACCTTGATTCCTATCTAAAAAAATTAATTCTAGGCTTTCTAAATACCAAAGTATTTCCACATTTTTAGCATCTTGAATTTCATGCCGCAATTTACAGACAGTATAAAACCGGCACAGTAAATCGCTTACTTTGGCAACACCTCTGATTACGCCATTACTCATTGTCGCCCAGCTTTCTTTCAATTCAACACCAAAGCCATTAAAACGCCGTAAAACCAGTCGCAAGCCGATCCAAAACAACTGCGACTGCCTCTTTTTTTGCGGCGCGTTTGGTCATTAGGGCGGAAAGATAAGACGGAATTAATGTCCCTTAATAAAAACGAGCAGTGCGATTCCTTTGCTCTCTCCACCCGAGCAATTACACCTATGAACGGTAACCAGCTCTTGAGCTGTCGCATGACCTCCGAGCAAGCGACATTCCGCCTCAATTAGACTCGCGCTAACTGTGCGCGTCTTCGCGATTGATTACGTTTGTATGTCACCGAGAGAGAAATAACAGAAGCTGCAATTTTCCTGCCAATACACACAAGATCTCAACTTTGCATTGCATTAAATACATGAAAGACAAGTAAACAGTAAGACTTATAAAAAAATTAATTATATTTATTATATAATAATTTAAATTAAAAGTAAAGCACTTTTAACAACTTATTTAATTAATTTTTTTCATATTTACTACATAAAATTTGTTTGTTTTATTGCAATATTAATTTTATCTTATTATTTTGCATGTTATTTTGAAGAAATTTTGAATATTATTTAACACAGAAAAAATATATAAATAAATTAAAGTACTTTGAAAGATGAATCAGAATTATTGCTAATGCTGTGTAAAACACTTGTGACTCGTTGGTGGCAATGGTGGCATAATTGTTATTTTATTATTATTGCAACTTATGTCATAAATTATTTTATCAGTTTAATCATAGAATTGATGTAAATTTGGAATTTGAAATCAAATATTATATAATTTACGCCAACAAAAGTAAGATTGACGAATTTAACAGAATTTAAGAGAAATTCTAGGTGCAATTCCCACCTACATGTCGCGATCGAAGCCAAATCTCTTCATCAGCAGCAAAGCCTGGCATAAATATTAATGAGCGAATTGCAGGCCAACGACTGAACTAACCTGCCCGGCGCACGATTAAATGATTAATGCTCATCTTGCACAATTCTGCAGACGCGCGCCCCAGAGAGCGAGAGATGAACTCAAAGGGAATACTCAATTAATTACTGTGGCAAACATACAAGGCAGTCTGCAAATATCCGAGCGAACACACATTGTCTCTCATATTATACTCTCGGGCCGGAGAATATCATCATCATCGCATCGTTTGCGTGCAGACCGAAGCAAGCAAGTGTGCGTAATTCCTCGGAGCGCCATGCATGATGTTTGCTCGCCCCGTGCTCAATTTGAATTTAAATTGCTGCTCGCGACGTGAACTGACACACACTATGCAGCCGCAAACACAAAATAAATAAGACGTTATTTTCGTTATTTGCGAGCTCGGCCAGACTGGCATTTCGCAAAACGGGCCCGACGTGCTTTGTTTCGCAAACGACGAGAAGCGCCGCCGGCAAAATGTACGGACCAAGGATTTCCTCGGATGCAGGCTTGGACGCAATAAATTATATTCTGGCTAAACTGACCAACGTGATGCAGGGTCGGATGAGGTCGTGAACTTTGGTTGTTTATATGAGTTGAGAAGTTAGCGTGTCTAGTACAGACATTTGGAGTAATGTATGACTTCATGCTTTTAATACTAGTGGAAAACGTAGGTTTCGGAGATAAAATTTACACCATTATTATACAATTTACGTTACTCTATTTTAAGCTAAAAAATTAAACATTTCAATTTACAAATGAATCATACAAAGTTTTTCTCCAATTTAATTTTTTGTCATCACTTGATTTAGAATTATTTAACAATAATAATTAGAATTGAACGGTATCAGATTTTAAATTTATTTTTAAATAAAATTGTAAAGATATGCAAGTCTTAAAAATGTATTCATGAATATTCTTTTTCAGTTTTAATTTACATTTTATCTTGAACAATCAATATTTGCCCATTTAAATAGGATAAAGTAAAGCTGTCTATTAATTGCCTGAAATTAAGCAGCTCCTCAGATAGTTGAAAATAAACTTTCAATCATCACTTTCAAGTCCCAGAAAAACCAGCCCAGGAAAAACAAAAAAGCTGCCCTCATTACATTACAGCTTTTTTTTTGTCTAATAATCTGAATAATTAATTTGTCCAGGGTTAGTTTTTTTTTCAACTTTGAAACGAACAATTGACTTTTATTTTGCGTTCTCTTTTTGCAACTGATTTATGATTTTTTTAATTTCAAAATAAAATAAAATCACTAACATGCTTTTAATTAGTGCAATGCTCTCTAATATCCTCTGAATTTCCATAAATTGATTGATTTTGATCGATTATATCCTAATTTTATGGTGATATTTGAATTTAAACCTCAGTTTAGAGTGCCGGGAATAGTTTTGGAAATAAAAATAATTACATACCTCGTTATAGTTGAGAGTCTCGGGGCATTCAAATCTGTACGGAGTTCCGTGGGAGCAGACGATGAAAATATCGCAGTTCTTGGGGCTGCGGTACCTGGCGAAGGGCGACTTGCACCCTTCACCGATGTCCTCCTTCAACTGCTCCTCGGAAACCTTGTTTCCTTCCGACTCTTCCTCTCCCTCGGCAGGCCCTGATGGCGCCTCCGTAGACTCGACTGGCGCTTCGCTCTCCGAACTGGACTCGCCTGAAAAAGAGAAAAAAAAAATGAAAAAATGATTCCGACCGAATAAATTTTCATCTGTTGAAATAATTCTGCATTCAGAATTCCATTTGCACACTCGGCGTATGTGTATTTTTTACGGGTGAGCGAGAGAAAGGGAGGCATAGAACGTGCACTACAACTTTTCATGGTTCTGCGCTGGCCGGCAAGTTCGCTTTTCAATATTTCAATATGCGCGCAACACACAAAGGAGGAATATCGAGAGAGGCGAACAACAAAGCGGGTATGGGGCAGGCGCGCCAAAATCAATTCCGCGTCTCGTTTCAAATATCTTTGAGCTCTTTCCAATACACCCCGTGTCAATTGATTTACGCCCTGCACTAAACACCCCGGCGGCGCCAGCGAGCGAAAGAGAACACCCTGCAATTTATTTTTGCTCCTTCCTCTCATCCGTGGACGTCACACATCGCGTACATGCGCTACGTGCCTTGTGTATTTATTTTCCGAGACTGCTCAAATAACTTTTCCGATTTGCTCTCCGACGACAGTTTTCAATTCTCTCCAGTTTGATAAAAATAAAAAGGATAAAATTTAGCAAAGGAAGCAATAAGTTGAAAATCCTAAAAATTAATAATTGCAAATTTGAAAGTTTTCCCACAGATTCTAATAAACTTTTAAAAGTTATTTGAGTTTTTATGCACATTAATATATATGTTTTGTAATATTTCTCAATTTTGTAAGTAATTTTGAATCGAAGCTATATTATGAGACTGAATTTCCTGATAATTATCATTACCATTGCATTCATTATTATTTTTTTACAAATTAAAAAAAAATCTTTTTCTGCATAAATTTACGCTAAAGAAATGTATATAATTATGCTTTGGAACTAAATTAAATTAAAATAAAAATTATAAACGTTTTTCAGAATTATAATAATTGCAAAACAAATCATCTAACAAAAGCCATCCAGATGATTTATATCTTGGACAAATTTTAATCTCCTTAATGGTGCCAACAGTTTATAATTAAAAATCTTCCCCTCTTGCCATTATGATAATTTTATGCTGATGAGTGGAGGGAGTCTCAACTGCATCATCATCAACAAGGGGCTGCCTCGAGGGTAAACATGAGCGAAAAGTTTGCCGCGAGGTTTTATTACCTCAGATTAAATAGGACTTTCCCTTTCTATCTCTCACAGGCGCTCATCTTCATCAATGATGCAGCAATAATTTTATACCAAAACTTCCGGCGCCACTTAATTTAGTCTTTGGAAAGTGATTGCCAGGGCCAATATATACGCGGTGTATTTTATAAAGTAGGGCACGCACGAGTTGATTCTCCAAAGTTTGCCCTGAAAGAAGAGTTGGCAGCCTAAGCTTTTGTTTGGAATTGAGAGGGAGCGGGGCCCGGGTTCAAAAGAACTTTGAGAACAAAGGAGCCGACTTCCGCAATCTGTAATGGACGGATAAAGCGGAAAATCCTAATCCGACATTTCGCGAATTTTAACCACACGCCGAAAAAAGTGCTGTTAATTCTGTTCTTTTGCAAACAATTTGTAATTTGGATTATTCAAAATAATCAAATTATATTAATTATCATATATTTTTAAACACTCTCAATTAATTATTTAAAAAAATAATATTTTAAATTTAATAAGATATTTAAATTAAATTACTAATTTTGAAAGAATTAATAATAATAATAATAACTAATTAATTTTAAATTTTTACTTATTTATAAAGTTTTGAAAGGACTCATTGTAAAAAAAATGGTTTTAGATAACAATTATAAATTTTTATTTAAAAAAATTTAAGCCTCATATGGAAAGTCCCTCATAAATTGACTAAATGAATAATAGTTTATAATAATAATTTAAAATATACAATTTTTTTTTATAAAATTGAAAACCTACCTGTTTGAGCAGGAGCTTCAGTCTGCGCAGGAGGGTCGCCGCCTCTGCTGGAGCAATCGACGTTGTCCCTGTAATCGCAAAAGGCTCCCTGGTCCGAGAACACGAGTTCGCCCGGGCAAGACTGCTCGGCCACGAAGCCGTCCCAGCAGTTGTAGAACTTGTTGCACTGGTCCGGGTGCGCGAACTGTCCTCGGGGCTCCTTGCAGTTCTTCAGCATTTCCGGGTCGGACACCGGCGTGGCCTCGGTGCTGCCCTCGGCCGCCGCCGCCGCCGACTCGGTCGCCTCGGTCGTCGTGAAGGGCGCTTCGGACGGAGGCGGCGTCTCGGTTATGGGCACCTGGACCCACATGTGTCCGGGGGCGGCCGGGGGCAGCTCGGACGCGTCTTGCTTGAGGAGGAACGCGGGGGGCACGTTGACGGCCATTTGCCATTGGCGACGAACCTCCTTCGGAAGACTGGCACCTGCGACTGCAATAAAAATTCGGCGTTTTATTACTCGCTTGTTTATTGAAGGACGAAAGTGATTTTGCGTTTTACGAGTCGGAACAGGTGAGTATGCGTCTAGGAGGGGGAAATTGGCAGCTACCTGCGCTTAATTGAGTGTCTTTTTAATGCATGCTGGGATGCAATTGGAAATTTCATTTAAATTCTTTTAAATTTTGCTATATTATCACTATATGAAAATAATCTATTGGGACAATATTTTAAAGAATCTGCTAAATTCTGGGTCATTTTCATAGAGAAATAGAAAATTGGATCTTTCTTTAGTTAATTAATTACTCAAATGTTTAAAATCAAATTTAAAAAATATTATTAGGATTTCAGAAAAAGTTTTTCAATTCCTTTCCTTTCGAATCTGCAGTTAATTATAATTTTATTGAATGCATATTAATCGGTTTATTCCAGATTCAGTTTTAATTTTCAAGGAGAAATAGAAATTTAGCTTTAAATTCTGAGACTAATGTTTTGAAAATAAATCTTGAAATTTAAATGAACAAATGAACTCATTCGTTCAAACCAAACTTAAATATTCAGATAATTATTTATTCTATTTAAAATCCTTTAAATTTCCATTGAAAATATTTGTGTTGTTTGCTCAATTTAGAAGTTATTGCAATTAATTAAAACGTAATTATTGAATATCTCCGTTTAAATTCAAAACTTTTCATGCAAATATAGGATTTAAGATATTATTGGAAAAAGCTTTGTCGTGACAGTCACTGTGCAGTTCATTGGAGAAATGTGTCAAAAAAGTGAATCTCTCCACTGGAAACAATTTTTAAAAAAGTGATTCACCGGAGCGTATCCGGTTTCAAGGAGCTCGGGAAAATTTATTCCAGCGATGATTATGGTAATATCGGGAAGAGGAGCGAGAGTAATAAATCTTAGTGATCTATTATTAGACTTTTATATCATCTGGGATGCGAGAGAGAGCACTTGAGCATTCAGATATTATTCGCTCTCTTTCTCCACTCTTGGCGTTTGATATTCAGATCCCGAGCGACGCGGCCGGCCCGATTTTTCCTCCATCCGACGCTCGCTCTCTGCATACTACTTTTCTACATACTTTTTTTTCTCCTCGCCCTGATACGCCCTTGTTCAAACTAATAGGCTTCCTTGGGCGCGCTGAAAGGAAAACTTTTCCTTCTGCCCTTTGCATATTTCTCGTAATGCGGATGAAAGGAGGAAAATAACACACACATAAGAAGAAAAGCGTACGTCTTTTCTCTCTCCGCCGACGGACCGAAGAAGTAATGAAACGGACGCGTAAAAGAAAATTAGCGGTTTGCTCGAAAGCGCTGCCGGCAGTAAAATAAAATTAAGGGTAGGTGCGAGGCAATAAAAAAGAGACGCCCCAATTCCGAATTGCTCTTTGGGGAGAGAACAAAAGTCTGGCAAAGTCGGTTCATGATTGAGTTGTTGCCGCTCTTAATGGCCACATCAAGGCAAATGAGACCGCTGACGATTCCAAAGATTTTCTTTCATCTCTCTGCTCTTTTTGTATGCAAAGTGTTGGCTGCGAATCTGTTTTTGCGCGCGGAGAGTGACGTATCGATTGCACTCGGGTCTTTTTGCAACAGAATGGAGAGGGAGCAACGCAAAAGTTTCTTTTATCTCGGCGCTTGTTTAGCCCCGGCAAAGCCTCAAAACCCGCAGCCGTGTCCAGAGAAAAAGGGATCTCTGCAGCTGAAAGCTTTGCAAAGACGAAAAACGGGATGAGCGCACATTTCTATTTGGTACCTTAAAACGCAAAAACTCGGCAAGCTCGAGTCATGTAAAAATATGGAATTTCAGCACTGACAAAGATATGAAGAATACAAAATGCAAATTCTAGATATTTTTGTATCCTTTTTTTTCTTTTGCACTTATTTTCAGAGAAAGCATCGAATAAGCAGAGTAAATGCAAGATAGATAGATCATATCAATATTTTGGGAATTATATAAAACCAACGATGATTACTAAAGAGAATTGGAGAGAAGTAGCCTTTAATAATTGGACCAATTGCAATACTGTTTCTACTAAATACCATTTTAGAATTAGTTTAATTATAAATTATTTAGCATTTACCACTCAGATACAATACTCATAAAATACATCTCACAAAAAATAAATAAATATAAATTTAAAAATTAAAATAACTGTAAATAAAGTTTATGGATATTTGGAAAAAAACTAAATATAAAAAAAATGATAAGAAATAAAATTTTGTTATTTGCTTATAGTTTAAATATAATTAATACGTAAAGCGTCACGTAGGCGTCACATGTTAATTTTTTTTTTAAAGTTGAACATAATTTAACTTTTATAGAAAAAATGAGCTATAAAGTTTTATACATTTAAAGCTACTTTTGTAGCAATTTTTAAAGATTATAAATTATGATTTATGAGAGGTCAGAAATTGGGATATATTCCTGCTTTTAAGAAGAGTAAAAAGTAGGCCTTCGCCTTAATAAAAAAACATTCTAACAAATTGATCATTTACTTACTAATAAGTTTTAAACTTCAGTTTGAAATTTGGTGTCTACTGGAATCATTTAAATAAAAAATTTTATAGTAATTTTGAGCTCACGTTTTTCTTTAATCACTAATTTCTTTCCCAGCCTAATCGCGGCCTTGGATTAAAACTAGAACACCCCGCAATTTGCAAAGCACTTATAAATTTCCGTCGCAAATATTTGCATGCATAATAAAAATGCACACAATTAAAGAGAGAGAGAATTGCAAAGCTCTCTCTCATTTTCCTTTGCTCCGTTGATGTAATTAATTAAAAAGAGCCGGAGCTGAATGCTTTGCATAAATAACAAGAATTCAGTTAACGTTCTGCGAGCAAAGCGCATCTCTCACGTGCCGTGGACCGTGCATAAGTAACTCATTCACAGATGAAACAAACTCTCAACAGTGCTTCTGTGGCAAATATGGAGCGCGCGCTAAATGCAGGCAGTCCTTGTAGGGCAGGCAGCGGTGCGGAGGCACAAATAGAATGAAAATTATATATATTTCATCTCTGCACGCGCTCGCGAGTGGGTGTGAAGCCCTTTTCGCTCCCGATCAGATCACTGCGCTTGCCATTTATGAATATTTCCTCCGGACGATTTATTTTTTATAATATATGCGTGCGGAGTGTAAGAATGGGTGGAATAAGCACATCATATATATTCGCATGGGAAGAGGAACTTGTATTAAAACGTCTCTCTTTCGTGCCTTGCGGGAAAACGAGACTTTAAAGGAAATTCACCATCTCTCGCTCGGCGTCAATAAAAGATCAGGTTCATTTCCTTGATTTGGCGAAAACAGGGCGGGGAAGAAGAATAAGGAATTTGATTTTTTGCCGGAAAAAAAAATCAAAGAGAGTATATTAAACAATATTATTAAAATTAATATTGCAAGCAGTAACAAAGAGGAGCGAAAAAATTTAAATTTTGATAGAAAAATATTTAGTTTCAAAGGAATTTTTTTCAGACTCGGAATGAGAGCAACATTTATTATTGCAGAAATAGGTGTATACAAAATATTCATTTCTTTATTTTACTTTAAAGAAATTAAAAACAGTAATTAAATTAAAATAGCTGTCAATAAATGTAAAAATTAAATTTGCACACTTCATCCAGGCAAATAAATCTTAAATGTTTTAAATTTAAATTATAATTAAAAAAATTTATTATCTATCAATGGTTTTCCTCGCATAGTTAATTTAAGTGGTACTTCCAGTTAAAAGGACAAAACTGCATAAGTGATAAAAACAAAAACCAAGTCAACCGAGACTCACCGCGGCAGATGGGGTTTTTTTATCTCGGATGTTTTAGAAAACATTATTGCTAGTGGTGGTGCCGTTTTGTCCAACAATTCCTTTTTTTTCAAAAATAAATTATTTTCAACGATTGAAATTGAATTGAGTTTTAAACAGTCTGACTCACCTTTGTATATCTGAATCGCACAAAATAAAAAATATCTAATTTTACTAATTTTCCACTAACTTATATTTATTTCAAGTTACTTAATTATTTAAGAATTTTTTTGTAAAAATCTGATAAATCTTAAAAATGGAAAGAGACTTTTGTTGGCAAACGGTCAGTTTATTGTTTAAAAATAAAAAGTTTATTGTACTTCTTGGTTCTGGTGAGACTCGGTATAAAATGCAAATCAAGCGCATATCATGCAATCTGTTTAAAATTCCTCTTGTATGAGCAACACTTGATTTTGTAACATTATTCGCAATAAAAAAGCGTCAGTCCGTTGACGCCTGCTGGCACTGCCCGTTCTGAAAAAAAGTGCCCTGCTCTCAAGATGCAGCTCACGCACGTGAGAGATTGAAGGGTCAATGTCACTGCCAACGATTATACCTGTCGCCCGCTCTTCTTCTCGCAATAATCATAAATGATGGTGAGGTATAATGCATTTTAAAAGCGAGTATGAAATAATAAAGCCCACGTACGAGATAGAAAAACCAGTTCTCGTCCGATTGTCAATTTCATTTCTCGGTCAAAATTATAACCAAACCGGCTCTGAATGGTTTGAAAAAATTTGAATTTAAATCGAAAATATAATAAACAAATTCACAATGGACCGAATGCAAATTAGCCCCAAAAAAAGGTGTGCGCGGGCTCATTTGGGTAACGGCACAGGGCACTTTAATGACGCCTCTGATTGCATAACTGGAACCACAGCGCGTGAGAATCGCTCGAATGTCACCGCCCAGCCTTAAACTTGAACCTGGAATTATTGTTGTTATTACCGAGCGTCATCTGCATATTTATGACTTGGGAATCGGACACAATGATGACTCTTAAATAACAATCAGACCCGTGATTATCAGTGATTACATGCCACTTTTATGATTCTTTCGGCCTTTTACATTTGTATTTTGTGCAGACGCTTCCTTGATAATGATTAGTGCTTCCAAGACAAAATCTGCTCGGGAGTCGAAAAGTCTAAATACAGGGCTAATAATTGAATCGGTTTGAGCATAAAGAGGAAAGTGAATCGACAATGATTTTTTTTAATCTCGCAAAACTGGATCTTTTGAGATTTTTTTTAACATCATTATTGTTGATTATTGCTTTGCTTCAAAATAATTTTAGATTTCTAAGAAAAATAAGAAGAGAAAACAAAAGTTATAGTTCAGTTTGTAAATTTTGGCTTGAATTATTGAAATTATTATTTTCATTTGTTTGAAGAAATAGACACTCGAGGATATGATCATGGAAATGAAGAGATCGGGCTTTTCTTCGTTGCAGAAATTGTTTATTTATATAAAAAAATAACTCTAATGGTTTTGGTCATGGTCTGCGACTATATTTCTTGAGCAAGAAAAATAAAAATAAAAAAACCGCAAAATTAAAAAAAAAAAAAACATTCAGGCCATGATCGAAAGTAGAGGAGCCATTTGTTTTTGAATAAAAACAATTTTCGCAACGAGGAAAGGTCCGATCTCTTCATTTCTATAATTCCTATAATTATTCTTTATAAAATTCTATAAAATTAATATTGATAATTGGCACAATTGCATGTTAACGCTCAACAAAATTAAAATTTTACACAAAATTAAAATGCAAAAAAAAGAGACAATACATGACAATCTGATGTTTTCTAGAACTTTAAGACCCATTTTTCATCATTTTCATTTTCAAGGAAGCAATATCGCTCGATTAAAGTCATCTACTGTAATCTAAATTAAAATTTTCTGTAAAAAAATTAATATATTTTCTAATTTAGAGAAGCAGAAAAGTTTAATTATATTTATCTCAAAACAATTTAACTCTATAATCCTTAAAAAAATTTCAAACTATAAGTCTATATTCTTTACTTGAAATGACCAATAATAGTTAAATTTATCTCCTCTATTCATTTCGCAGATAATTAATATGTGTTTATTTTTGTGGCAATTAAAAAAACTCACCCCTCTGTTGGTTTCTGCGAACGTTCCTTCGGGCGGCCAGCACCGGGGAGGCGGCCAAAAGGGCCAGCAGCACAAGGCCGAGGACACTGACTTGTTGCGTACTCTTTGCCATCTTTTAGCACGGCCAGTGCCAAGATTGCTCTTATATATAGAGGATCCTCCACTCCCTCCTGATACACATTAAATGTACACCTACCTGCATCTTCTCTAATGTCGTCCGCGCGCGCCCTTTTCCACCTCTCTTTCTGTTATCGCGCGACAACTCGCTCGATTCATTATTGCCGTTTTGCTCGATTATTAATTCATTTTGTCGGGAAGGCAATCACAAGGTAATTTATGTCCACGCTTCAGAGGCACACACGTTGTTGTGCGTAACGAGCAAAACAAAATAAATTCTTACGACTGCAGCGAGAAAGACGTTTCTTGTACGCATATAATGCGATTCTTCCCATTGATAATTAATTATTCCATCTGGATTGACCGTGTTGAAAATAGATTGATCATAAAACACAAAGAATGAACTCATTTATTCTATAGTATTTATATTAACTGTAAATTAATATATTGTAATTAAATTGCTTCACAAATGTAAATAATTTTATTCCTTCTGATTTGCGTACTATGGTTCAAGATTTTTTTTGCAAAATATATTTAATAATTGATTTGGCTTCTGCAGATTTAAATCAATTTTTTTCCATATTACTTTGTTGTTTTTTATTCTGTTTTTGTGATGTCCGTTTCATTCAGCGTTTTTACAAGAAATAGAAAATTTATAATATATAATTTTAATATTTAATTCAAATAAAATATAATAATATATAAATTATTGAATTAAATTTAATGTTTAATTTTTTTCTATAATTTTGTGTAAAGTGTAAAGTATTTTTAAAATTAAAGTTTTTCACTAATAAATCTATGTAAATCTAGATTGTGAAATTCCTATTCGTATCATTTCATATTTGCAAATTAAGTCTTATAACGGTTTCAACACAGTCGCCATTTTTCTGGAACAATACGTGGACAAAAACGTACATTACGTCCCACGTTGGCCACTAACGAGAAATTTATCTCGCACTTGATCAAGGGCAGAAAATTAAAGTAGCATTCATTGTGCTCAGTATATAATTATAAATTTTCCAACCGCTCGTCTTTTCCATTCGCGAATATAAGATAAAAGCGGCGTTTATATCGTTTTTAGCGTGGAAGGAGCGAAAGATTTATAAAGCAGTGTGTGTACGTGTGTCCCAGAGATAAAATTTAATGCTGGCGCGCCGCTAATGTGTCTTCTTTAACAAGATTCCCTCTGTGAAAAGTTCTCCGCCCCTGCCTCGCAACTCCTGCAACTGACGTCCCTCTTTTCCCTCTATTTCTCATCTGACGAGAGAAGTGAGAGATGCACAAAAGTTCGCAAAGCAGCTTTTAGCGCCTTGCAACTATGCAAATTCTCATCACTCTCGATAAAACTTTTTTATTATTTTTGAGCCATCTTGGGGAATATTTATGAAATCCAGAGTCAATTAAAAGCTCATTTGCCTGCAAACCATAATTTAGTTTTTTAATTACATTCACACCTTGAATCTTGAATTGACCACGAGTGGTATAATTACAGAAAATAAATTAATTCGTCGAGAAGATGTGCATCTGTCGCCGATCGCATATTCAGGGTCAATAATTCTCAGTCGCAGAAATTAACTTGTCGATGCAGGCGGAAAATTGCAGCTCAGTGAAATTGCTTTTATCGCGTCTAAATTTACATAAACAAGCAGCACGGGGACGCCATAAATCTCGTAATTAAAGTGATGCGAGGATGTAATTAAACTGCGGAGGCTCTTTTGGCACGCAGCATCTCCTCCATAACTTCTCGATAAATCTGCTTTCTAGCATGACAAGTTTGTTCAAAATATCAAATCGAAAACACTGAAAGCGTTTCTTAAAGCAATACCGTAAAAAATTAAATAAAATTTATTATTCTCCTAGCGTGATGAAAATTGCAAGCAATAAAAAAATTAACACAAATTAGAAACTTATACATATAAATAAGCTATTTTTTGAACGATTTTCAGGTGAACTACTGAAACTAGCGGAAAAAGTTTATGCTAACAGAGAACTGACTTTCATTGAAAGCTCAAATTTTTTTCATTGAGTCTAATTATAACAAAAAGCGTTTTGAGTCTTTGTCAAAACTTTCCTTCATAATATTTATTATAATATATAAATAGTTTTTATTAATTTTTTCTGCAATTTATTTTAAGTTTAATGAATAATTTAATAATCAATATGTGTGATTTTATATAATATTATTTTTTACCATTATTACATATTCTAAATATTTATGCAGTTTTATTAAATTGTAAACGAGTAACAAGCTAAAAATATGTAATTGTATTGTATTTTTTGAAATATATACTTGCTTTAACGGAGAGATTAATTTAATTATCCTAATTTACCAATAAATACTTCAAGTTAGTATGCTCATCAAGCAATACATTTTTAATTCATATTTTAAAATTCATCACTTCTCATCAAACTATAAACGTGAACATTTTTATTGCAGAGCAGTGAAAACACAATTACTTCAAGCCTGCAATGCAATGTCTCTAGCGAGATAATTTATGTAATTACTAATTAATTTTTTTTATTCTAAATCAATGTAATAGGAATTTTAAAATTTTTGTTTCATTGCATCATGCATTGAGAATTAGTTCTCTGTTGAAATCAAAATAGACAACGTTATGCATTATGTGAGATAAGAGATTTTTCACATTAGGTAACAAGAACACAAAATTAGCCCATAATATGAGTATCGCATTTCGTCCTCTCCGTTCGGCAGCGGGGAGCATCCATTGAATGCGTTAATTTTGCATAGGCTTGTCACCAGGGTGCGGTCCTCAGGAATTTTCATTGCCTAGATCCGCTTTTGATCTTAAATTTATGTGTCAAATCCCTTGAGTATTTAATGAATTTAGAGAGAATCTTACTTAGTATAATTAATAATATGTAATAAAGAAAATAATTCTTTACATTATAATTTTTGTATCAATTCAAAATAATTTAAAATTTTGAGAAAAAACTAGCCAATTTTTAATTAAATTGTATTCAAATTGATATTTTATTAGCAACAACTTAATCAATTATTGCCGCCAGCTGTTGAAACCAATTAATTTTTTCGCGAAAATTGTTGCACCAAAAGAGGAGAGATGAAATATAGGTCTGCGTAGGCAGCGGCGGCTTTTTGCGTCCCCGCAGCTACCACGCGCCGGTCTTTTTTTCTCAGCAGCTAATCTGCAAGTGGTCGTATTTCATGCGATTCAATTGCTCAAGACCGTTACCCACCATCTCGGGTGACTCCAGAACTACTATAAAACGGACACTTGTGTATTACGTGCAGAGTGCCAGAAACACTATAAAATTCTTGAAATTTAAAATTGAATTTTTATGTTCTTGGAATTCGTTTTTTTTTTTATCATACACATCTTCAAAAGATTTTTAATACTACATTTCCTTAATGAACACAAGATAATTAGCAGCTTGGATGTTATAAATATTAAAAAGAATTATAAGTTCATCAGCATTTAACTAGAACAATAAAATTGTATTTTTTTTTTATATAGCAAAAATGTACCCAATTTTGTTGTGATTATGACTTTTTTTAATTAACAATTGATAAATTTTAACTAATGAGACTCTGTAAAATGAAGTGGATGATTTCCGAGGATTTAATTAAATGTTGCTTTTCTCATTATGAACTTCTTATTAATTTTAAATATATAAAATATTAAAAAATTCTGCTTTAAATTAAAAAAAAAAGTTATTTTTATATTAATAGCAGTGAGAATTTTTTTAAATACGTGCAAGGGGAAATAAATAATAATAATAATTTGCAGATGAACAACAAAAAGTAAATTTCTTAAATTTGTGTTAATGGGGAAAAAATTAATAAATAAATTTTTTGTTTTTAAATTAATTCATTGCTTAAAAAAAAGCATATTCCAAGTATAATTTAAATAATACAAGATCTTGTTAATGTTGATCTCAAGCGCAGTTACATTTACCAAGAATTTTATCACACATCTAATTTATTGTCACACAGATAAAAATCCGCATCGGTGACATTTCTCTCTTTTTTTTCCTCACGAATTGTCTCTCTCGAGTAAAATTTTCTGTTCGAGCACCTCATCTTGCAAAGTGCTCCTTCTGTCAGGGACGTGTGCGCTTCTCCCAGTCGTCTCTGCTCCTTTCTCGAGAAGGAAAATAAAATTGCAGTGCAAGAGCAGTCCTTGTATATCTTCGTTTTATTTTGTTAATGGAGCACGAGAGACGTTTTAATTTTCTCCCCGCACGCACCGACTTCAATTACTTTCGCACGTCCGCGCGCAACGAAATTAAAAAATCTCTTCCTGTCTCGGAGCACACAATGTACATTTAATTCCAATTCCGGCAAAAAAGTCGAGCGGAAATAAGTGCGACCTTGACACTGGATTTAAATTCTCATTAGCATCAGGAAATGATTGGATTCGTTTTCTGCCTCGAAACGATACTTCCCAAGAATAATTGCAACGCGCGCGTTTTTATTTCAGATCCGTAAGTTGACGTTATATTCACGGTTTTTTCCTCGATCGCTCCGTATCTCCTGCATCTATTGGCTCCGATTACATTGGAAAACCGCGCGCGCTCTTTATACATATGCGAGATGTTAACATTATTTATATTGTTCATTCACTTATAGAGAAGTGCCGTTTTTATTAACTCTGAATGTTTATTGCATATCGCGGCGGCGGCTCAGGTCAATTGCTCTCTACCTCTTATTCTTTTTTTATATTTATTCGTTCGCTCGCATGAATCTCGTTATGGCCGTGACTCATGCACGCAGCGAATTTTATAATATATTTATGCAAAATGGGTAATTTGCAACGGTGATGAGAATGGGATGCGAAAAATTTGCATGATATTTTGCAGATTAACAAATTAGGTGACGGCTCTGAATACAACCAGGCCATAAGTGGAGCACCCACTCAAGTTGAATGACTCATTTTCATCTTTCATCTATAGACGGGAACTAGAGTTAAATATAAAAAATAAAGTAAATAGATGACCATTTTTTAAGTCTTTTGTAATTGATAATTTGACTGAAGAAAATATTAATCTTACTACTTAAAAAAAAAACCCAATTTGAAGCATAAAAATACGTTTTTTCCAAAAATATTTCTTTAAATTTCATTACTCTTAAAATTTATAGTAATAATATACAAATTTACATTTATTTTTATCTTATTACTAAGCATTTTAATTGACTCAGCAAAATGACTAACTCTTAATTTCAAATCAAACTGTTATTTTTAATGCGAAGGATACAAGTTTCTTAATTTCTTGTCGCGCTTATTTGAATTATATTTCTACTTTTGTTTGAAGAAGTTGACACTCGAGGAGGATGATCATGGAAATGAAGATTCGGGCTTTTCCTCGTTGCAAAAAATTGTTTTTATTCAAAAACAAACGGCTCTACCAGTTTCGGTCACGGTCTGCGACCCTATTTCATGAGCAAACGCGCTGCAATTTTTTGCAACGAGGAAAAGCCCGAATCTTCATTTCCATATTTCTACTTGCTTTAAATTTTTCTCAAATGATTTTAAAATAAAATACAAAATCCTAACCTGCTTCATGTTTTTTACTTTTTTAGATCTTCACCAATAATTCATTATGAAATTATTCATTTTTATTTTCAGGCAGTTGATTTCCTGAACCTGTTGGAGATTTTCACCAGAAAATTCAATCCCAGATGTAAATTACTAGTTTGCAAGACCACCTATAGATCAATACCTTATTAAGGTGAGGCAATAACTAATCTGATGAAATATTGCAAAAAGCTGTCAATAATATCAGAGACGTAGCAATTGAAAGTTTACGCTTGTTGAATACTAATGGCGAGAAAATACACGGTTTTGTGAGATAATCGATCTTCATAATTACAAAGCGGTGACATTGGCAGTCAAATAAAATCGCCTAGGTCGCTCTGCCTGTCTGGTTGCGTTACGCAGAAGGTCGCTGATCTCGCGAGCGGTCACGTGACGCTCAACGAGGAAATAAAAAAGAGGCGATTCTAAAATAGGGCGCATATTCAACAAGAGGGTGGAGATTTAAAGGCCAAAAATTGCAAATTGAGGCCCCGATTTATTGCAGCGCCAATAAATCATGCGGGGATTTGCATTTAAATCAAATAAAGCCGGAGCGACCCTCGGCGGCTCGATTTATGATATCAAAAAGAGAAATAAACAAACGCAGAGACGACGAAGAGCGCGTGAAACCAATAAAAAAGCGATTCCGCCCCACTTGCTTTCGCTCTGAAAATAAAAGAGCCCCAAATCGATTTTTAATTAACGAATATATCGGGGCGTCGCGCCGATGACCGCCGGCAGCGATTTTTTCCCAGAGTGCAATAAAGAGGCGGAGAGTGCGCGTTCATGTTCAAGAGTAGTGGGTATCGAGTTGCTTGTCAGATGGACAAATCTGATTATACCCAGCCGCTTATTATTACGTACACATACACACACACCCAGAGAGAGCACTTACCTCTGCTCATTACACGTTCGATTGGCGCTGGTTCAGCTCCTAGAAAAAAAAAACAATGAGATGCTTAGATGGCAGGTTTATTGTGGCATTTTATTGTTGTTTATTTGTCCAAATTGTTACATTCAATTGTTAAAAACATTTGAAAAGAAATTTATCTTTGGACAAAACGGCACCAACTCGAGCAAAATTTTTGCATTCTCTAGACAAATAAACTAATTTAATTTTACAAAGTTCATTTTTTTTAGAACTTCAATCAAGAAAAATCCGCAAAAAAATATGGATTTTTTTTTCACAGAATCAACTATTTCAATTCTGTTGGCAAAAAAAAATTATATATTTTACTAAGATTAAATCTGGCAAAGTTTTGATTTTAGAATTATATAATTATTTAGAGTTACAGGAGGTTTCTGAAATGAATTTCAATTCACAGGAAATTTTTCTGCACAGCAAAGCGTTATGCTATTTTAATGCCTCTCACTCATTCTTTACTTTTGTGCTCAAATTGAAAAGCTGTTGGTAATTAGTGGTACTCAATTTTCCAGCTTTTTCATTATATGGAATTTTGCAATTTTCCATATTGCTTGGCTCTCAATACAGCTCGTTTTAATTCACCGAGAAGGAAGCATGGCTTTTCATGCCGGTACGTGAATTAATTCGTATTTATTGAAAGTTCAATTGCATTGAAGCAGCAGAATTTCATTTAGAAAAGAACTTGATATGCAGAAATCTAAATGACCCAATTCTGAAATAAAGAAAGGAAAATGGATACAAATATTGAATGCAATATGAGAAAAATTCTCACAAAATTATTAAAAATGCATATCAGGTGAAGTGAAATATATTCAAACTTACATTTTCTATTATAAAAATGCATCATAGCTAAAAAAAAATACTTCACTCGGTGTTTTTTTCAAGAGTTTATGATTTATGAATTAAAAACTAAAAAACTTTAGGTAATATAAGATTAATTTTTTTATGAAATTCTCTTGGAGTGATAAATTTCAACTTTTTAATTACTTTGAACTGGAAAATAACGAGGTTTGCGCTGATACGGGTGAAATGTCCTCGACCCATAAAAATTGCGGAACATTAACAATTTTAATGAGCGAAAACGCGGCGGGTAAAAAGTGCAACCACCGCTGCACTGCAAACGGCATCGTAGATTATGCCGCAGTCGTCGTCAAATGCAAATCCGCTCTCGTGCCGCCGGTTGCATAAATTCGGCCTGCATAAGTGCAGCGCAAATCCCGCGTTGACACTTTTACTGCCAATGCGCGCAGCACTGTAATTGCATCTCTGCACATTTCTCGAGGAAATTTACGCGCTGGACGGCGCGGGTGGACAGCGAACAAATTCCTTGGCCAGCAGCAAACCCCAGCATTAAAATATTGTAATGAGATAATATGCGTCAAAAGTTTGAAACAAACGATCGTCTTTTTGCGGTGGGAAATAATGTTGCATCACTTGCCTGGCGTTGCAGCATCCCTGAGAGTTCAATTCATTTTATTTTTCTCAAATCAATTCAGAACAATCATTTGTGAAAAATTCTGACTCTTATCTTAAATTTTAAATTATTTCATTTGACATAAAAAAAATTATAAAAAAATTTTGTTTTAAATTTTAAGACTTTAATAAGATTATGAAAGGTAAATCTTCATAATTTAAACTGTTGTCAAAAACAGTAAATTCCACTAACAAGAATTGTGTAAAAACATTTATCACATTTGATACCAAATGTTGCCGTTGTTATTGTTTTTTTTTTTTTTTATCTTATATTTGAATCGGAACAGATTTACGTAATTCAAATAGAGTTCCACGGGCAAAATAAATTTTAAATCAAATTATAGAAAAAGAGGAAAAACGAAATGAAGTTTTACTCTTGCGTCTACACTCACAGTAATTCGGATTCAGCATCTGTTTTTTTTTACACATTTTTTTTTCAAATTGCGTTCAACTCGTAACAAATTTGAATTACAGAGTAATCGAATTTCACTTCAATTTGAACTGGCCAACAGCCATAAAGTTCAATATCACTCGGCCAACGACATTTTAAGCCAAAAAGCCTTTGTTATACACAGAGCGTGTGTATTTCAACTGGTAGATCGGCCAGGTGATCAAATTTGATCTGCCATGGAGCTCGTGAGAGGAATGTTCGTCCAACGAGCGACTAATTGAATGCATGCAATTCGCCCAGGACGTGCAAATATCGCAGAGTTGATTGGTGGGCCCAATTATGGCGGCCGTCAATCAGCCGAGCGAGTGGAGAGGGTCACGGGGCGATTCATTACGTGCGGCCAAACCACACCATTTATATCCTGTGTGCAGAGTGTGGCCGGTCAATTGTTCCGCACCCTTATGGTCTTCCATTAGCGGCGATGATTAACAATTAGCCTCTGCATTATTATTACCATCGTCAAATAATTGCCTCGCAATTGTCGCTGTGCCCTATTTGAGCACGTGTCTGTCTATTTTTTTTTTTTTACCCCTTTTGTCTCGACACTCATCAATATTCAATTTGCATTATTGAGTGGAGTATGAAATAATACCCGCTCCGAATCGTCTGTTCCGGCCGGCAGTGGGGAATTTTAATGAATTTCGTCGGAACATATAAAGCTGCCGAGTGCCGGTTTCCGTTGTGTGCCCGCATTGCCGATAAACAGATTAAAACTGTAACCCGTTTTGGGAGTGCTGGGACGGTCATTAGATCGCAATCAGCGCACAGCATCGGTTGCTTTACTCGGATTTTGCACAACGCGTTGCGCGGACGATTAGACTTTGAGCAACTAAATTTGGGCCATTCAAAGGATATCAAAACAAATTGAGTAAATTTATTATAGTCTTAACATTGAAAATTCAACATTAGCGCTACATAGTGAAATTGAGTTTAAAATTGGATTAGAATACTTAGTCTGACATAAATTTTCTTTTTTAATTTGAAATAAAAATTTGTGATATTTAACACAATTGAATTATTGCGCGGAAAATTTGCAACTGCAATGCAAAATTCTTTTCAATTTTGTTAATTTTTTTAATTAAATAATTATTAAGTATAAATTATAATGAAAATGAAGAGATCGGACTTTTCCTCGTTGGGAAATTTGTTTTATTCATACAAAAATGCTAAAAAATACAGAAATTTGTTTTTTAATAGAAACAATTTTTAAGCGAGGAAAATCCTGATCTCTTCATTTCCACGATCATCTCCTCGAGTGTCAGTTTCTTTGAACAAATAAACCATACTGTCTGTAAATTGATTTTTATAACACTTAAAGCAATTTGCAGCAAGAGGAGGAAGCGAATAATCAGAAATTCCTCGGCTTGCAAAAACTTTCCACTTCTCCTTTGTCGGCACGGATTCTGCTTTTTATCTCTGCGGCTTAGAAGAGAGAAAAGCCAATAAAGCAAATTGCTCTGCTGCACCTGGGAAGACGTTTTCGCTCCTCCGGAGCAGACAACTGAGAAATCGGCTCATGCAAATGCGCGCAGTTGGCAAAGACAAACTCGGACAAATTGTCCACCCGGCCGTGAGCGAACGAATGCATTAATAATTCATGCTGGAACGAGCGAACCGCGCGTGTTACTGCACTGAATGTAACACATTGAGCGAAGAAGTGTAACAATGCACGGAGGACCGACGCCGAGAGAACTCTGTAAGTTGTTACAGTCTATTTGTCCGTGCGCGCTCGCTGCTTTGTGTAAATGCAAATATCCTCCACTGTTTTCCAATTTGTGAATTGGACTTGAATAATTTTACGTTCTTTTTTGCAGCAAATCTAAATTCGTCTCTTTTTGTATATTTTAATGCAAGATTATTTAAATAAATAATTATTCTAAATAAAATGTAATAATAACAATTAAATTTTTATTTTTACTCATATGAAATTTTTCATTTCATTCTTATAAAAAATAATGTATTAAAAATTGAAAAAAATTAAATTGATAGCTAATTATTTGGTTAAATTATTGTGCCATTGATAACTTGTATTGCAGACTAATGCAGGCAATTATAATTTGTGGAAGTGAAGCACTCGGGCTTATTCCTCATTGTAAAAATTGTTTTTGAATAAAAACATTTTTTATGAAGAGAAAAAAGCCCGAGTTCTTCACTTCCATGATGATCTTCTCAAGTGTCAATTTCTTCAAACAAATTATAATTTATTTTAATTTTCTTTTAAATAATTATATATTATGCTAATTGAACCAGATATACTCTGACTTAGATATATTGCTTTGACCAAGTTTTAACTACATTTTAATTTAATTTAAATCCAATTATTTTTATTTAATTGTAATATATAAAGCCACGTTTGTGTAAAACTTATATTTTCAATTTTTATTCATATATTTATTTTTCAATTTTTTTTCAGAACTTTTTCTCATCCATTCTCAAGTTAAAGTATTTTTTTAAACTCTTAATCACGAGCTTACTCACACACAAAAGCATGCACGAGAGTGATCGCCTAAGTTAAGTGAAGACAAATCTGCGCAATAACGCCACTCCTGCGAGCTCTTTTTGCGCGAGTACTTTGAGAAGAAATAGCCAATCAAAAGCAAAGTGCGAGAAGTGACACTGACAAATTGCCACGTGCGAATGAACGTTGCGGATTACTTGGGAACAAATTGACTCTCCGCCTCGCAAGATAAAGAGAGTCGTTGATAAAAAGCGGCTTCAAAAGTTGATGCGATTTATTTTTAAGACATAAATTTGGCTCACTTGCTATTTATCAAAATAAAAAATGACCCTTTTACTGGTCTATTTTTATCAAACAAAAACAGCAGCACTTTTTCAAGATTGCCTTGTAAGCGTTTCTGTAATTGGTGTTCATCACGCAATAAATCACTGGATTAACGACGACGGAGAAGTAATATGGAAATTGGAAGAGAAAATGATCAACTGAAAATTAAGAATTATTAACAAAATTGTTGCTAAATCTTTCGTATATTAAAAAAATACCTGCAGAAATGTCAAAATTACTTTTGTAGTGGCCAGAAAGAGCTAATAGGATTGCGGCAGGAGCAAAGCAAATGAAAAACGAAATTGTGGTGGCCAGCAACATTTTCATAAGCTGAATGCTTCTTTCGTCTGCTGTTGTCATTTTGTACACCCTAAAAGTAAATTGGGGCAAACTTATACGAAATTCAAATTTTACCAAACCCTTTTGCTCTGAAGTAGATTGTGAGGTAGCTCAGGATAATGATAACGGATGCTAGGCCAAATAAGACCATGGTTATCACTGATGACTGTTCTTGTATCAAAAGAAAGCAGATTCCTTCATCATCATATTGAATTTCAGCTTGACATTTAACAATTTGATGTTAAAAAAAAAATTGCAAAGTCATTAGTATTTACCAGTTATTTTAAAAAATGCCAGAACGACGGGAATGTGCCCAATGATTGTGGTTGAAATAAGAATCAGAATGGTATTTGAGATTGTGAAAATTCTGCTATACGTTTCGGCAGCACACGTTACTTTAACAAGTCTGTAATTTATTATTTAAAATTAAAAAATATTATTATAATAAATTGATTTTACCTGTTAACTGCCAAACAAGCGATAAATATAATTGATATGACTGGTGAGCAAAAGGTGGAAACTCTATTTACGTAGCACCACGTTTTCCCAAGGATCCATCCTCCGTTATCGAGGAAAAAAACAGAGTTCAGAGGAATAGAGAAAATGCTTGTTAGGAAGTCTGAAACGGTCAGTCTGAGTGCCAGCGTTTATTTTCTGAATAAAATTTCCGTCTTTGTCTTACCCGAGGATTAAAATTCCAATTGGGTCGCGAAACTGCTTGAAAAAGATGAAAATGCACAAGGTCAGTCCGTTGCCAATTATGCCTGTGGTGGAGCACACGGCACATAATGCCAACCCCGCTATCCGGCACAGGGCGTCCATTATTCTATCATTAGAATATGTAAAATGCATCGGTGCTTTCCTAACTCTTCAGATAAAATTTCCCTTTTTTACAACTAAGGAAGTGTTCTTCGATAAATCGTGACTCACAGGGAACAAAACTGTCAAGCCTTAAAAGATAAAATCCATAAAAGATAAAAATAAAAACTTGATTTCAAAATTTAGGTATAAAATGATGCAGATCTTGTTTCCATTTAACGAAAAGAATTTTATTAAATATTCATGCATTCCATTTATATTTATAAAGATTGGATATTAATTTGCTGTTAAACTTGAGTAAAAATGCACGTCACATATATTTTTTCAATTTATAAATTCATAATAAATGCAAGTTCTCAAATAAATAATTTATTAATTAAAATGTTTTTTCTTTCCACAATTCCAAACTATTTTGTTTTTCCATCCTTTTTTTATACAATAATATTACTCTATAGTGCTCTATAGCGATCAAAAGGTATAGCCTATAGGGCTTTTTTATAATTTAGGAAGTCCGTTAAAAAAGCTTTCGTTACATGAATTGTGCTTTAACAAGGGCAATTTAATCTTGTAAAAGTTATATATATATATATATATATATATATATATATATATATATATATATATATATATATATATATATATATATATATATATATATATATATATATATATCGGCGATAATTCCTGAAAGGTACAATGCGTTGGCAAGGGTCATGCGATCCTTACCATTTTCTAGGAGCTTAAAGACCATACCAAGAGGTTTTCAAAAATATATAGTTTTACCCCAATATCTCAAAATTTACGGGTTTTACGGGACGTTCAAAATTGGATTTTGGAAATTTTCAAACGGCTGTATCTCGGCTTCCCGTGGTCGTAGAACAAAAATCCGGGTATGGCTGGATTTCTCTCAGCAAGCTCTACAACTTTGCTGTTGGGTACAAAATTGAGGGTCACAGGTCAAGGTCACTTTTGGTGACCTCGTGACCTTTGACCTCAAATTTGACAATTTGCCGCCACTTTTTTTACAAATCTGAGATAGCCATTTTGTAGAGCGTAAAATTTTACATAAAATACGTTCTTAAAAAAAGTGGTATGTATCACCCGTTTTTTATTTGAAAAATAAGAAACGCAAAAAACGTGGTTTTCCGAGCTCTGGAAGATGAAAAATAACTTTGAGCCTCTGTAACTTTTTTCCTGTTATATTTAGGACAAAATAAGTAATGACAAAAAGTGATCCACTTGACTTGTTCTTTCAGACCACGTGTCGCACGTAGTGACCTGGTAACAAAAGGTCATTGACCCTGGTGACCTTTGACCTTACCACAATATATTTTGCAAGTGTGATACATCGTTGGAAAGAACACATTAAGAGGAACATTTAAGTACCCGGATTTTTGCCGCAGCTTTATTAGAAGCGGAATTATCGCAGATCTAACAATAATTTTTCTCAATTTTTATATTTTCACTTAGGAAATATTGCAATAACTCTGCTTCTAATAAAGCTACGGCAAAAATCCTGGCACCAAAGTGTTCCTCTTAATGTGTTCTTTCCAACGATGTATCACACTTGCAAAATATATTGTGGTAAGGTCAAAGGTCACCAGGGTCAATGACCTTTTGTTACCAGGTCACTACGTGCGACACGTGGTCTGAAAGAACAAGTCAAGTGGATCACTTTTTGTCATTACTTATGTTGTCCTAAATATAACAGGAAACAAGTTACAGAGGCTCAAAGTTATTTTTCATCATCCAGAGCTCGGAAAACCACGTTTTTTGCGTTTCTTATTTTTCAAATAAAAAACGGGTGATACATACCACTTTTTTTAAGAACGTATTTTATGTAAAATTTTACGCTCTACAAAATGGCTATCTCAGATTTGTAAAAAAAGTGGCGGCAAATTGTCAAATTTGAGGTCAAAGGTCACGAGGTCACCAAAAGTGACCTTGACCTGTGACCCTCAATTTTGTACCCAACAGCAAAGTTGTAGAACTTGCTGAGATGAATCCAAGCATACCCGGATTTTTGTTCTACGACCACGGGAAGCCGAGATACAGCCGTTTGAAAATTTCCAAAATCCAATTTTGAACGTCCCGTAAAACCCGTAAATTTTGAGATATTGGGGTAAAACTATATATTTTTGAAAACCTCTTGGTATGGTCTTTAAGCTCCTAGAAAATAGTAAGGATCGCATGACCCTTGCCAACGCATTGTACCTTTCAGGAATTATCGCCGATATATATTTGGAAATTTCCAATAAAGAAATCTTAAAATGAATTAAATATGTCCTAAAAATGTCCTAAAAGCTATGGTCGCACATTGTCCTAAAAACTTTGTCCTAATTGAATTTCAAGAAAATGTCCTAAATTTTGGAAAAGTGGTTGATTTATTCTAAAAAATTTAGTTTTTTCAACAGGGACTAACATCCCAAATGAATTCACTTAAAAGCAGAAAGAATGATGCTAATTGTCGAGCTTCTCTGTCATATAGTTGATCAAATAATTCAAAAAACAAAAGTGTATAAAAGTTTGAAACAATCATATTATTTTCCACAAATACAAATTATTGTTAATAATAATATTATTACTACAACTTATATTGAAAATAAATTTAAAGAATATATTTTCAATTAGAATTTTTCATATTTTTTGTCTTGAAAAAAAATCGATTGATATTTTTAAGTAAACTTTTTCGTAGGAAACAAAAATACAATTGCCTGAAGATTTGTACGAAATTCTTTGAAACTATTGTCTAGAAGAAAGATTAATAGCTATATTTCTCAACTACCCGTAGCAAAAGCGAAGAAAAAAATATTTAAAAAAAAATATTTAAGTCATTACAAAAGCCTAAAATTACTAAAATTAGTTCAAAAATCTAAATATGCATATTCCGATAAAGACTCTATAGTCGTATGAAGCGTAAAATATTTTGAATCTGGATAAATTTTGAAGCAAAATTACTTGAAAGGATGAAATTAAATTTTTTTGCTTATGACACATGACTTGTCATAATTTTCAGACGTTAGGATATTTTCTGTTAGGACATTTTCAATTCTTAATTTTAGGGCATTTTCTTTAGGATATTTTCTGTAGGACATTTTCTTTAGGATATTATCCGTTAGGACATTTTCTGTTAGGACATTGTCTTTAGGACATTGTGAGGCACCCCAATTAAATATAATTAATATATTTTATGTTTATATTATGTGAAAGTGGTTTAAATTTTAAAATTATAATTTATACCCTGTAGTAGACTGAATATTTGAGCTAATTATAGTCGGATTTTTCTGTTCCAGACAAAGACCCCTCTCTAAAATTTCTTTGTAGGCGTTTCTGTAGTTTCTATTCAACACGCCGTATATTATCGGATTTAGCACAACGGTCGAGAAGTATGGAACCGTAAAGAAAATGTAGTGAACTATGAACAGAATTTTATTTTACTTATATAAGGCCTAAGTAACATTATAATCATACCTCCAGATACTTCCAAGTCACTTCCAGTCATAAGAATCACGCTCACTCCTGTTGGCAAGAAGCACAAGTAGAATGTGGCCGCCGTGGCCATCAGCATTTTTGTTAAGCTCGTGCTCATTTGAGCAGAACTGGCCATGCAACTTGATCTTTTATGACTATGACACAATTATAAATCCATTGTTCCAAAAATAAAAGCTATTGACCAACTCTTTCACTTTTTTGTAGATTCGGCCGTAGCAGAAACCGACCACGATACCCGATGCAATGAAAATAGCGGTTGATACCACCTTTGTATGCGTATGCACATAAAGAAAACAAATTCCGCCACTCTCCTCATATCTGATATCAGCTAAAACAATTTCAATTTAAAAAAAGCATATAATATACTTTGAAAATTACTAGTGATGCCAAAAAATCCCAGGATTATTGGAGAATATCCGATCGCAACGTTGAATAAAATAATCAGCTTCGTATTTAGCATTGTGAAAATTCTGTTATATGTTTGAGCTGTGCAGTTAATTTTGGTCCATCTATAGTAGAAATTCATGAACTTGAAAGTAAAATCTTTCAAGAATTTGTACCTGTTAAGTGCAATGGAAGAGATGAACATGATGGATGTGGGTAGTGAACCGTAGCAGAGAAACTTATCCACATAGCACAAAAAACTTCCAAGAGTCCACGTTGCCTTGGTATAAAAGACCGAGGCCTTCAAAGGGATGGCTGTAGTGCTTGTAATTAATCCAGTAATGGTCAATCTAGAATATATCAACTGGTACAAAAAATTACCGAACGATTTCTAAAAACCTCTTTTTACCCCATAATGAACAACCCGATGGGATCTCTAAACTTTTTGTCGGAAATAAACAAGCAAAGTGTCATTCCGTTACCGATTATTCCCCCAATCGAACAAAAGATACAAAGCAGGCATCCCAATAGCCAAGCGTCCATTTTTCCTACAAGTACGTAAAACCCAATTGAGCTCCTAGTTAGTTATAAAACTAAAAAAAGCAAAAATTTCCTTGTGGAAGTAACTTTGATAAGAACTACGCCACCTGTTTTATCGGTTTCCTTATATTTTTGCTGTTGTGCTGAATCCACTTGTGTACGGCGTGATGAACAAAAACTACAGAGATGCCTACAAGGCGCTACTGGGGAAATGCGTTTGTCGGCCAAATCTATTAGAGCAAAATTAGACGGAAAAATTAATTATAACTAAGTTTATTTTAAACAATAAAACAAAACCTCGCCTTAAAATCAAAATTTATTGTTTAAAAAAAAATTGGAACTTGCAACCAATGTGTGTTCCAAAAATGATATCATGTTTATCTTTGTTCCTTTCGACAATTCCAAGAATGAATACACAGGCCTGCTTAAATTAGAATGAAATTAATCAGGAAACGTTGGGCATACAAGACATTGTACTTATATTTCAGTGAGAGCGCGATTACTGTTTTAAATCCAAATTGCTTTCTCATATATCACGTGCGTTTCCACCAACCCTACACCTATTCAGCGCAGCGACGGTGGCGCCACCGTCTCTCGGCTTGAACTAGCGCTTGGGAAAACATTTTGATGCATGATTTATCTTTTTTTTAAGTATAATATTTTTTAAATGTTTATTGGTATTGTTATGATTTTTTTGTTTTGTTAAATAGAACTTTTTATATTTTTTCTCTTTTGGAATAAAAATATGCCTTTTTTTAACTTAAACGAGCAATAAATAAATTTATTTAAATAACATTTATTTTATATTTAAACTTAAGTTTCTAGTGTTAGAATTTTTTTATCGATTTTATTTTTTCTTTCTTTTATTTATACTAAAAATAAAAATAAATTTTAATTTAACTTTATAAAATTAATTTATTGAATTTTTTAATTGGTTATTGTAGTATAATATTGATTATTCAAGTATTCAAATAATTGTTTTAATTGAATTTATTTTTTTCTTTTCCATTTCAAAAAATATTTTAAATAATGTAATTAATTTTCTTAATAAATTTGCAGGGGATATTTTATGAAGTCATAAAAACTATGTGTAGATTGTAATTTATTTTTAGTATTATTTCAACTTATTTTTATATTTTATCTGTAATGCAGTAGGAGTTCAGTGCTCCTTGGCATTAGGCAAATTCCTTTCTTCCGAATAAGAATTTATTTGCTCAAATGACTACTTCGATGCCATCATCTCTGAAAGTATCTGATACCGCATAAAATAAAATATTTTTAGTATAAAAAAAGAAATAAAGAAGAAATAATTAAAATCAATATAAAATTTTAAAACTAAAAATAGAGGTTAATTATAAATACAATGTTGTTTCAACTAAATTATTTTTCATTCATTGTAAGCTCAAAAAAATATAATATTTTTATTCCAAATAAGAAACAAATTTAAAATTTAAATATAACCAAAAAATTACAATAATACCACTAAATAATATTAAAATAATAATGATAATATTAAAAACTATTATAAAAATCAAATTATTTAACAAAAATAATTAGTAAATTTTTCATCTTTATTTGAATATCAATATGTCTATCCAAATACAATTGTTCAGAAAAAAAGAAAACGTTTTTGTAAAAAAAAATTATAATATTTAGGAATTTAGGATAAATCACGCATCAAAATGATCTCCCCAGCGTTAGTTCAAGCCGAGAGACGGTGGCGCCACCGTCGCTGCGCTGAATTGGTGTAGGGTCGGTGGAAACGCAAACAGGTGATGAACTAGAAAAGTAAAGTGACAAATAAATTTGGATGGGCTCAAAATAAGAATAATTACGTGCGGGTACATCCAAATCATTAGTGTAACCACCCGTCAGGAGTAAACCCAATGCAGCTGGCGTGAAGCAAGCATAGAAAACTATCGCCGTCGTCATCAGCATTTTCGACACCTCATTTGAATCGATCATGCTCGTCGAGCTACGGCTAAAAGGCAAACGTTCAATTTAATGAGCTTCGAAATGAACCAAAACTGACGCAATCACTCTTTTGTAGATTCTGAAGTAGCAGAAACCGACCAATGCTGAAGGCGCGCCAAAAATTAAAGCTGCGAGTATTTGTGAATGAGAGTGCATGAAAAGGAAGCAAATTTCTTCCGTTTCGTCATAATTTATCTCAGCTAGAGAAAATAAAATATTACTTATAAAATCTCATTGCGTCGAACTTGCTTGTAATGCCAAAAAATCCTAGAACAACTGGCAAATATCCCAAAACTGGAATGCAAATTACGATCATCAGTGAAGTGCGTTTGGTGAAAATCTTGTTGTACGTTTGAGCAGACCAGTTCATTTTGATCCATCTATTAAAAAAAATCTGTTTCAAAATTAATTAAAATTTTCCAACTTTGTTTTGACCTGTTGAAGGCAATAGAAGTAATGAACATGATGGAAATTGAAGAGGCACCGTACGCAAAAAACTTATCCAGGTAGCACATAAATTTACCGAGTTTCCAATGCGCTTCATAAAAGAAAAACGAGGCCTTCAAAGGAATGATTATAGAACTTGCTATGAAGTCAAAAATGGTCAATCTGCATAAATAAATTTATTTTATTTAAATAAATTTAAAAAATAAATGTCAATGTCAATTTTACCCCAAAACGTGCAATCCAATTGGGTTTCTGAACTTATTGATTAAAATAAATATGCAGATCGTCATTCCGTTGCCAATTATTCCAGCAATGGAGCAAAGTACACAGAGCACAAAACCGAGAAGCCAAATCACACCGTCCATTATTTTTTCCTGGCAGCTTCAACTTTGTTTCTCTACAAGTTACAACGTTATAAAACAAACTATATACGAGCTTAAAATAATGTACTTCCTCCAGAAATCAGCGCTGATAAGTGGTTAACGTTTGATTGAACTAAATTTAAATAAAAAATATAATTTAAGTTGTAATCAGGCATTTCCCCCCCCCCCCCCATTGCGCGGTCATTTCATAGAATTGTTAACCGCAGAAATAAATTACGATTTAATTAACGCAACTGCAAACGTAACCACACGTCCAGCTTTTTCGTAACAGAATCGAATTAGCTTTTGAAGCTTCATGAATTTATTTCGCGGTGCACGAAATGCTGAAATGAACCCTTCAATAGCACAAACAACAACAGGGAGCCGCATCGGTATCGCCATCAGTATATGACATCACATTTTGCACAAACACCCGCAAACGCGGCGCCGCTTTTTTGCCCTGAATTATTAATGATTTGAAATGTTTGTGTACGAGTGTGTTTCGCTTTGAACAACAAACACAGCAGCAGCGCCCGGTGCGCTCTCTTGGGTGAAATAAAATTTCAAAATATACAGCCCAGTCCGATTAATCTGCTCTGCAGCGTCATTGTAGTGCAATTTTTTTTTACCAAATCCATATTTAGATATTATATAAAAACAATAAACGCGTCAGCATACAATTTAACTTGAAATTGACCAATTTCGTTAGCGGACATGAAAATTAACAAAATCTAATTTCGTATTGAATTTTCTTTTCTAACGTAATAAATTCTTCTATTTCCTTATAGCTAATATTTTAAATGTATATTCATAAAAGTTTAGAACTCGGAATTTATATGGTAGCGATAATCAGAGAAATCAGAATGTCATAGTGTAACAAAAGTAGCAATGTAGGTTAAAAAGCACAATATGTATTTTATATAAATTTTGAAGAAATACTTTTATACTATAATTTAAAAAAAAAGGATGAATAATACAAAAAATATAGGTTAATATATTAAAATATTATAATAATTAATAATAAATTAATATTAAACAAATTAAATTATAGAATCAAAAATTTTTTGTTTATTAATTTTTAATTTTTATTAAAAAATATTTCTTAAAATTAAATCACAAATAAAAAAATAATAATTAATTACTGCTTACATTCAATATTAAGCAATTGAAGTCTAGTTGTCAAATAATTTGATTGATTTGATTTTTTTTAAACAAAAGCGCGTCGTTTTATTCGCGGTACACATCGTTATGAACTCTAAAAAAAAACTTGACAAAATGTGCAGCGGCAATGTAAAATTCTCTCCTACGCTTTTGCAAAGGGGAACGCACTGCTGAGCCGTTGCCTCATTTTTAATCATCTCATGGACCAGTTCATCATTTCCTCGTCAGCTTCCTCCTGCGAACCTCTTCCCTCGGATGTGCGCGAGCAAGAGAAATATAAAAGAATGAAAGCGGCCGGTGCTGCTGAGTGTGTGCGTCTCAGCTTGACGTGTGCACCTTGCAGAATGCAAATGAGAGTGTGCGGGGGCAGCGCGCTGGAAATTATTATTCTCGCACCTCGTGCGCTCAACGACCCCTTTTTCTGCGTGAAAATCGCCGCACGGCACGCGAGTGGACGTCCGTAATCTCCACTTTGGTCCTTCAAACACGCCTTGTGGATTAATTAAAAAGAAAAAAAAGGAGAGAGGCGCTCACGAGCAAATACTTTTATTTATTTCTCACCTATTCGTGTTTTCGTTTTCACTCAAACAACAACAACAAAAGCGCTTTTTCTTTGATGTTAGAAAAAACATTTGCGTTGCCTCGGTGAAATGCGGAATTCTTTTTGAGCTCGTTTTCTTTGACATTTTTTCCAGGGTTTACTTTGCTGGGAGCTCCATGAGAATTTCAAAACTAATTTTGGATATAAAACATTCATAAATTTTGATTGAATTAATTTCTCAACGCCATAGAAAAATAACAAAAATAACTTCTAAAATCATTGAAACTTATTTATTAGCTTTATCGTTATTTGATACATAAATTTTCTTAAAGAAAATGTTCAATTTTGTTAATAATAAAATTCGATAAAAGTTCTTGACCAATGTAAAAATTGGGATCGGAAAATTGGAACCCTTAGAAATATTATTTGAGACAAGGTTTGTTTAGGCGTTCAATTTATCCCACCAAGTGAATTTAAACAGTGATAAACCTGACTGCGAAGTCACTAATTTAGCCTTTTCTGGATCGACACTGACCTTCCAAGCTCCAAATTGATTTCGTGGGATAATTAGGAGAATCACAATCTTAGCAGTGCAGATTTGTCGATTACAATTTCATTGACAGTTGAAAAATTTGTAGAATTTTCAGACTTTTTTATAAAATCAAATCAATTATTCCTGATAAAAATTATTGAAACTGTTTTAAAATATAATAGAGAAATTTCTTAAAGTAAAAAACACATTTTTCCAGTTTAATTTTTATGCTGAAAAGTTGTAGAAATATAGAAGATGGCTAGGAAACAGTCGCTTCCCACGCAGCGCCGTAAAATCTCAGCTGCTTCTTCACTCACATTATTTTCTCTCGCTTTTGACTTGCGAAGAGCTGCTTTCGGCATTTGGCTGTCCCCGGGCAGGTTTTAATTAAAATTCATACGCACAGAGAGCAAGAAGAGCTGCTGCTGTCGGGCTAATTCAATTTTTACGACAGCCGCCAGCATGTTGCACTGTAAAAGTAGATTGTAATGCAAATGGCTCCATTATTAGCGCGAGGGTTTTACGAGGCCAAAACGCCGGCCTGAAAATGCATCAATAACTCGGCCTGGCCGTCCATGCACGTTCGTCCCGGCGAAAATGCAATAAAATACAGAGCTAATAAGGCGCACGGACCGACTATATTTTATGGCGCCTGTGAGAGGCAAACGCCGAATCGCAATTACACCGGGAAAATGAGTTCCTCTGATCTTTTCCAACGCGAGCGAGATCCACTACTTTCGTTTAAATTGGACTGCGGCTCTCCGAATGGGATTTTCGATTGCTATAGGCTCTGAGCTCGATTTGGTACATTCGTTATCCGAAATAGTCTCGCACTTTGCTTGAAAGGAAATATCAAAAATTCGGTATGATGACATTTAATTCGAGTTAAAAATTAAAATGAGTTATTCAATTATTACTTCTTTGTCATAATTTTATGTACAAAATGTTCACATTCTAATAATTTTTATAATTATAGACAAATTTAGTCCAGTTTTTAGTTTTTCAGATATATGATCATTATTTAATTGTTTTTAAGGTACAATTTTTAAATTTAGACGATTTTACATAGTAATAAAAAATAAATTTGTTTACTCATCATCACATAATTAAACACGTGTGAAAAAATATAAATAGTTTATAATTTTTTTATAACATTTTTTAGTAGTTTAAAATAAACTAACTTTATATTTACTCCAAAATAGATTTTTTATGATATTATAAATTTAAAGTTTAATTAAGAAAATATATAAAATTAAATTTACTTTTATAATATTTTTATCATAATTATGTACATTTATTTTATGTCACTCAAATAATGAGGACAAACTATGTAATCATGATTTCTTATTTTTTTTTTACTTTATAAAGCCGAAATCCACCTCAAGCGTTCACTGAAAGTTGGAAAATATCATACGAAATATCATTTTATATCAAGCTTGATCACTGAATTAAAAATCATCTTTCAATTAATAATATTTATAATTAATTAAAAATTTGGGCTTCCTCTTACCTTTTGTCAAACTACTTGAGAGGTAAATGAAAAAGAGACCCTAAAACCTGCCCGCTTAATTATACCTTTTGCCGGGGCAGCTGAGGGTGCGGTCGGTGCAGAAAAGACCTGCGCCCGCAACAAACAGGCCAAAGCTGCTTTCGCTGCACTATAAATATTTGGTCAGGGGCGAACAAAAAGAGAAAAAGTACACAAACACACCAAGTGTTGTGCGCACAGCGATTGACTGAGGGCTCGGGCAGAGAAAAGGGTTTCCGACCGAGAGGCCCGAACAAACAAATTGCCCTCCCACAGTCTGCAGGCAATAACACTCTATCAGGCCGGCGCGAATTAATTGTAAAATGCCGTTTCAGGGGTAATTGGTTTTGGAATTTATTGATCCGGCTTTGAACGCCCCTTGAAAAAAGGGGAGATTGGAGCGCATTTTCACACAAGACTGATTGCTTATATTTAAAATACTAAAAAACCATTGCACTCGCAGGACTGCTCAAAAGAAACGAAAAACGAACTTAATTAAATTATTTTGTTGCAATTATTTCAATTATTTATTTTAATTTATTGAATTAATTGATTTCTTGCTTAAAGGAAGGATAAAATTAAATAAATATTAAATAATTATTAACAATAAAATAATATTGATTTTTTGATGTCTGTATCGGTCTGTATGATTTATTTGGGCAGAAATAAACAAAAAAGACAAAATTTAGTCTATTTATAATAAAATAAATTTTGTCATGTAAAATTAAGAAAATTTTAATACGTCAGAAATTATAAACTTTACTCACAGAAATGATATATTAAAAAAAATTAAATAAATATTGCTCTCGGTCTGTTTATATGGTTTTTTTTTGTAGAGAGTTTCTAGTTATTTCGTGTATTCCAATTTCAGAATTTCAATTTTCATTTTTAAATTGAGATTATGAAAGTGAGCGAGAAATATTAATGTTTAAAAACAAATTTGTAAGCCAAAAAAAATATCGAACTTCAATCTAAAATAAAGAATTGTCTTGAAATATTACAATTATTTATGCCTTCAATGGGAATTCTTTTTTTCTAACAATAAATCTGGTGCTTTGAATTTTGCAATAATTAATACCTGAAGATGAAAACATAGATTTTATTATGTTTAGAGAGAATCGTGATTTTGATATTATTGAATCTTGGAATTTTGGAATTTAAATTCATTTCAAAGTTTGATAGATTTTCAATCAATCTCTGAAAGGTGACTTTCATTATTTAATTAGGGCAATGCCCTTTATAGTTTTAAGCTAGGACGAAGG